TCAATACATTCTACATTCAACAATTGCTGAACTTGAGCACCTACATCAATAACAGTTTCTACAGGTTTCACCTGAATATTTAATTCTAAAAACATTAAGGAAATTAATTTTTTTAAGCATTATGTATAATTTTCTTAAGTTTTATTTTTATATTTACATATAAAACTACAAAACAATTATTTACTCTTTCATGAGGAAAAACAAAACTGATTCATTCATTTAAATATTTTAAAAGTTTGACTAAAATTTGTTTTTGCCAGTCTGAGTTCTAAATAAGACAATACTAGAACTTTTGGATATAATACTGTTACCTTTAAATTACTTTCCATATTTTGAATTTAGACTTTTGTGCAATCAGCTGAAACAAAAGTTTCAAGCTACCATGAGCATACTTTCTGCTACATAGTTTCAATTAAATCAAAATCATTTGTCATCTTATTTTACTCAATGACTAAAATTTTAAAACACCAACTTTTAACAGTCACAGTAAAAAAACTTTACTACTTTGAGATTTGTGTTTTCATTCTCTGAAAATGGAACTCCTTTTATAACGTGAAACTATGCTTCACTTTCATATACATTTTTAGGAATGTGTCCATGACCAAAAAGTATTGGGAATGGTTCAATACAATGCAAGATTAAAATTTATTCATCAAAATTTATTTCATCCCTTAAAGTAATTTCCTCCCACTGCAATGCATTTATGACATTTTTTACTAATTCTTGAAACATGCTTTAAAGTCATGAAACCCTTTCAGGGTTTGCAGCAAATTTTGTTTTATGGCATCAAGTCACTCAAAAACAATGACCATGAGGTAGTTGAGGAAACAGGAAAATATCACATGGTGCCATATCAAGTGAATAGAGCGTGCAGAATCATTTGTTATATATTTTTGGCTAAAAATTCACAAACAAGAACATTGTAGACAATTGCATTACTGTGGTGCAAAATTCATGGGTTCTCTCACCAGAAATCAGATCACTTTCTACAAATTGCTTCACAGAGACAAAATGCTCAAATAGCAGCTTTTGTTGAGTTTGGCCAGCCAGAAGGAATTTGTAATGCACAACACCATGACAGAAGGAAACATGACCTTACTTTTTGACTGACAATCTTTTCATCTTGTTTCACCTTTTGAGTACCATTCACTTGATTGTTGAGCTGTTTCGGTATCAAAAGTATAGATCCATCAAACATGTTTCATTACTGTAATGATGCATTTTAAGAATGATTCACCTTAAGCTATTTCATTGGCCAATTGAACACATTTTTGGAAAAATTCAATGTTTTCAGGATGACTCAAGAAGCAATGGGCCACAACCCTAAGTGATCTTTTCAAGTTGCTTGACAATGTCCAAATAATACTGGAACATGTTCATAATGTCCCTAATTGCTAAATGACAATCTGACTTGAACAACATTTATTCATTAGTTAAAGTGAATGGTCTACTAAAACATGATTCATCTTTGATGCATTCTCTGCCTTTGTTGAACATCTTATACCAATCAGAAATTCTTGTTTTTGATCGAGTATCACCAAAGGCTTTCTGCAACATTACCAATGTTTGTGTAGCAGTAATTCAGTTTTAAAGCAAAATTTAATGCACATTCTTTGCTAAATTACACTCAACATTTTGAAAAATCCAACAATATTTACAACTGTGTGTGGAGCCATCTCTTATGATAAAATTCAAAATTACAACTAGAATGGTTAACTAGTAAGAAAAATCAACACCTTAATTACACTCTTCTTGCTGGAAAATTATGTAAGGTGTTGATTTTCCTATCTGTGATGATATTTTATTAAAGAACTTTATATTTTTAATTATTATAAAATGACAAAGCTTAATTTTGAGGGTAGGGATGGGTTTTATAAAAAAACTGTAAATGCTAATAATGAATAAAATCATTACGTACAACCATAATCAAGATATGAAATGATCTCCTTTATTTTCCTACCCTGTCGCCCTTTAATCACCAAAATTTAATAGCGGCAATCAACAATATACAAATCTCTTTCAAAATTTCAGAAATTTTTGATAAAACACACATGAATTAAACTTAAAAGAGGGTGAGCAAAATCATGCTCCACACACAGAAAAGAAACCTGATTTTTTTGCATTACTGGACATTTCAAAGTCCAAAAATGTAAAAAACATGGGGTGGGTCATTTTTTTGACTGATTGCCAACTTTCCCTCTGTTATATATAACAGAGCCAGAAAAGTAAAAAAATCACTGGTGCAAAAATTCTTCACGTACAAAGCAAGCATTTATTTGCAAACAAAAACAGATTACTGTTAGATGTCAATGAAAGCCATACCAAATGACAACAGTGCCCTCTTGCATACACACAGTTTAAATGAACTATTCCTGATACTTTTTGATCAGCATAATAAGTCCTATAAAACTAGAAAACTCAAATCACTCAAAAGTCAAAGATTATTACAAATACTTTTAATATATGCAAACTGTTTATTAAAGCATGTAGCATTTTATCAAACAATTTAGCATTTATAATTATCTATCAGAACTTATATAATTTTTATGGTAGTCCAAAATACTGTTATAATAAAAAATTTTCAATAAAAATAATAACTGAAATAATTCAATAATTCAAATTAGACTTCAAAAAGATGAACTTATATTTCTAGAATGTTAAAAGTTTGCAATCTGTTGATAAACTACTTCATTCAGATAGTCAAACACTAGCATTTTTGGCCAAAACATTTAATCATTAAGCTATAACTCAATAGATTAGAAAAATGTCAGAGATAATTACAAAAAACTTTAAAGCATTTTCATCTCATTCAACTATATCACTAGACAACATATTAAAAATCNCGACTTGATGGAACTTAACACACATGTAAACTTATCTGTTACATTTAACTTTCATAATAAGTTCTCATATCTAATTTTATTATTAGATGAAAATATAAAAAGATCTATAGAAACACATTATATTCACTTATTGGTTAAAAAGTATATATCCAATATTGAAAAGTTGTTTCCCTGATAAGTTAGTATATAACAACTTGTCAAAGTTGTTATATACTAACTTATAATTCACTTCTATATAAACAAATTTCAGCACTCTTGATATGAACAATATAATTCACTGAATACAACTTGTATAGAAAGCAAGCAACATTAGTTCTTCATATTAATAATTAGAATTTAAATACAGTATGTCTTCCATTTAATGGAGGGGGAAGAACACCAAAGGAAAAATTTTGAAAACTTATCCTCTGTATTTATATTTACAAATGTCAAAGTTGAGTTAATAAATCAGCATTAGTGGTGAACACTCCATCAGTTACAATGTATAGTTTTTGGTGTGTTGAAAATAAAGTTTGGTTCCTGTCAAATTTATTTTTATACAGAATGCAGGAGGATAACAGTTTTTTAATTAAAATAAGATACAGGTTATATAATTATGCTAAAAACATCTTGCTCTTAAAATAAGACTTAAATAATCAATCACACTTTGAATATTGTTTGTGAGGGGCACAAACAACTTTCAAAGTACACATTCTTGAAATCATTCCCTAAAATTTTGCATGACTTTCTGCAACATTTCAGGAGGAATTGCTGCCATTTCATCCCTGATTTTCTGCTTCAAGTTTGTTAGTCCTTGAATTTTTCCCAGTGCGAGCCATTGCCCCATCCTGTTGAAATTATATTCTGATATCGAACACCATATTGGCACGCCGCCACTTCAAGAAAGTTATGAAGTACTTCAATATAAGGAGCTGAACTTATTGTCAAAGACTTGCCTTTATCACTTAAGAAATATGGACAAATCCTTCCAAAAGATGCTAATCAAACAATCTTAAACTTGTGTAAAGGCTGCTCACATAACTCAATGCTCATAAAACAAGATGTATTTTTATAATTTTATGCTAATTTCAATTGTTACTAAATGGTTTTGAGTTACACAGCATGGGACTCAAAGTCACTCCCATCTCTACTGCTTGCCACAGCTGTATTTAAAAACCTTCAGAAACACAGAGTATGACAGATTAACCTAACAAATGTTTTAATAATATATATAAATTATTCAATTTACAAATCATTTTATTCAAAATATGTTAGATTTGTTATAATATATGTAAGTTTTAAAAATACATATTAATAACAAACACATTCAATTTAACAGACTTTTGTAATAACATCCTCAAATTAGTCTGTTAAAGTGAGGATCACTGTAATGTGATGCCGCTATGCTACATTATAATAGTTCTAGTGATAAAGATATTAAAGTAAATACTGCAAAGAACCGAAGAAATTATTTTAGGACAAACTTTATGCAATTTGACATATCTATATTGAACTAATAAATGTCAAAGACTTTGGACGTTAAAAAACGTTCCAAAATTGATTTTGAACACAAGATTATAGGTGGCAGTGATAGAAGTCTAATTCAGTGTTGTGATGATCAACAGAATGATTAATATATAAGCTCAACTGTCAAAACATTCTGTATGTAACAATGAGAAATTAGAAATGATAGCTTGATAATGAAGATGGATTTCTAGTGTTGATCAAATGAAAATCAAGAAGGTTTGGATTGGGTCATAAGAAAATTGAAAATTCAATATTGATGAAAAGGTAGAAGCCAACAAGTTTATTAAATATTAAAAACATTATATAAAAAGGAAATTATAAAATAGTCACTATCTAATCACACAAGAGAATAGAACAGGAGATATCTGAACAAAGGAAATGAGAAAAATAAGCAGTAGATGGAACTCATGAACTAGAATAAAATAAGAAGTTAGAAATATCTTATTATATTAATAGAAGTAAAAGTGTGTGTAAAAAGTTTTTCAGAATCATGCTCAGGCCTCATCCAAACTATTTCCAATTGCTAGCAGCACATTAGTTGCCATTATGTACTCTACAATAATGGAATACTTAATAAAAAGCTTTTACATATAATGTAAAACTAACCTTTTCTGACAAAGTCCATTCTAAAAAAGAATTATAAAAAAGTACCTGTGCTTGACGGTTAGGTTCTAGCCTCAATAAACACCCAATCTGGAGTGTACGGGTATTTACAATTCCTGCACCTACAACATTGTCTGGGTTTGGATCAATTCCATCTAAAACTTGAGTGCCGAATCCCAACAACTGCAAAGGTAAAGTGCATTTGCAACTTTAATTGACTGTAATCAATGACTAAAAGTAAATCATTTTAATATTTACCTTAGTCTTAATGGAATCTGCATCCATAGGATATTTTGCCTTGAATATTTTTTGTGATTCTTGACATGGACTAAAAGATTTATTAAAAACGTTACACGAAAAATTTTTCACAGGGAATTTTATTATTATATTATTTCATTTCTGAAATCAACTTACTTGCTCAAATTTTTCCATCGTGTGAAAAATGCTTCAGAATTCATAACGGTAGGTTCAATGAATTTATTAATGGTTACTGGTAACTTCAATGTCAACTTCTGCTGTGCACCACAATAGCTGAAATCAATTTATTTTCTTTGTAATCACATGCAGTTTATTTATAAATTATTTAAAAAACCAACTTAAAATATATCAATGTTAAAAATAGTTAGATAAGAAAAGACCAGAATAAGTACTTTATTCAAAAATAAACTAAGTTATGCTTATAAACAAAGGTGTATAAACCTAACATTCAATAATCACCTAGAATAAAATTCATATATTAAATTATGCTGAACAGTTTAAAATCAACTACAGTATAGGTAGGAACACATTTTCTAAACAAACATTGCAGAAAAATGTTACTGTTCAGAAGATAAAAATGTAATCAGGAGTCTATGCTGTACAGTAGGAAAACCTCGCAACGAGAGCAAATACAAAGTACATAGGGGCTACAACAAAAATGCTTGCCAGTCGCCTAGCAGAACACCAAGATGTAGTGAGGAGAAGGCACACCACAGAGTTCACAAAAAAGGTGCTTGAACAGGGTTACGACCCGCTATGGGCCCACGCTACAATGATCAAATGCTACAAAAATCGAAAACTCGTCTTTATATGGGAGTCCCTTCTCACGGCAACCTTAGAGGCATGCAACACCCCACTCTCAACCTGCCTAGTGTATGGGTCATGCTGTATAAGTGTTTAAACAATGATTCACATCTGCTGTCATGTTACTAACATGGGCATACATCCATGCATGTGCTGGTTCACAACACACGTATTGCATTGCATGCACAACTTCAAACACATTCTAAAATTAAAATTGTTCTTAACGGTTTTACCAAATATTTTAATTTGAAAATGTGTGTTCTGATATTCTTTTCAGAATATTCTGTTCGCTATTTTAAAATAGTTATTTGCCTGACAACGACAGTTATAAATTTATCGAAGTACTCGTGATAAAAAAAGTACATATAACATCGAACTCAGTTAACTCTGTTCTATCCAAATGGGTGTGTTTTGAGGCCAGGAAATGAATGAATTTGCTTTCCATTATTCCTTATGGGAAAAATTGCTTTGAACTTCAAACAATTCATTCCAGGAGGTTGATTGAACTTTGAATTAAGTTTGAAGTATGAGGCACCACAAGTATTTTATTAAAAAATTAAATTTAACTGAAGTCAAGAATAAATTTATTTGAAGACTTAAACCTAGAAAAAATAATTGTTTTTCCACATCTCATTTTTGTGCCAAGTTACTATTAAAATTCTGTTACTAATTTTAGGCAGTCTCAACATACCCTTCAATAAAGTGGAGTAAAACTGAAAACACTTTTATATATTTAGTTTTTAAACTACAGTTAACAGATCTAATAAAATATTGTAACAATTACTTTAAATTCAGGAAATTTCTTTAGACAATTAGATGGTATTAGTATGGGAACAGTTTACACATAATTTTGGTCCTAATGTATAAGATCAGAGCAGAATTATGTATTACAGATTTATAGAATGTGCACTAATTTTTATAAATTTTATCATCATTATGATAATATTCCTATTTAAAGTTTACAAAATATTTAATATAGCCATGTTCTTTTGCACAGATATCAAAATTAGTTAATATTTAGGTTATTTTCATAATTGTATTTTTAATATCAAATGTTTTTGTTTTATATTGAATAAGAATAGCATAAAATTTAGAATAGTTCTGAAAGAGTATAGCAAAAAAATAGTTCTCAACATATATATAGCAAGAAAAATGAAGTCTGAAATGAGAATTTTATATATATATATATATATGCATATACATACATACACACAAAGTATCAGGTCAGTCCATAAGTTTGTGCGTATTCTATGACCTTGAGAAAAATCTTGTTTTGCTGTTAAAAATGCCAGACTAATGTGATACTTTTTACACCAAAGTGTTAAATTGGATCTCATTCATATAATACTGTTCAGAATTGGGAACATTTCAGTTGTTTATTTTTGTTAAAATGGAAGTAACAGACGAATATAAGAGACATGTTTTATACTTTTTATTTTTAAGTGGTGAGAATGCTACAAATGCAGCCAAAAAATTAAATACTGTTCATAATCAAACTGTAATTATTGTGTAAGGACTGTGCAGAAGTGGTTTGAAAGATTTAGAAATAATAATTTTAGTGTGGAGGATAAGGCTCGTACTGGAAGACCTGTTGACTTTGATGATGATGCTCTTTCTGCACTAGTTGAAGCAGAACGATCTTTAACAGTTGATGAAATTGCGGAACATTTAAATTATCCCATGGAACTGTTCATAGACATCTACAACAAATCGGAAAAGTTTCAAAGCTAGGAAAATGGATACCACATGAACTGTCAATAGCTAACTCACAACGTCAACTGCTCAACTCAAAAGCTTCAACTGGGAAATTTTACCTCATCCATCATATTTGCCAGATATTGCTCCCAGTGATTATCATCTTTTTCGGAGTTTGCAGAATTTTTTAAAAGGAAAAACTTTTCAGGATGAGAACAATGTAAAAAAGGCTATTTCTGAATATTTTAATTCAAAACCGAAATCATTTTACAAAGACGGGATTAAAAAGCTATCATCAAGATGGCAAGAAATTGTACAAAATAATGGTGAATACATTATAGATTGAAATAAAATTTAGCTGAAAATTTTTTGTTGCTTTTTTTGTAGATAAAAATGCGCACGAACTTATGGACTGACCTGATATATACAGTGGAACCCCGGTTAACGAACTTAATCCGTTCCGCGACTCCGTTCATTAACCGAAGCAATTTTTCCCATAGAAATTAATGCAAATGCCATTAATCCGTTCTAGTCTCCAAAATTTTTGTGATTTTATTTGTAATATACAGTAATTTTCTTTGATGAAAATGTAAGAAAACGTAGTATCTATCGTTACAGCAACAAACATGTAAACTTTGTTTAATAAAATAGCACTGTACATACCTTCGTTTGTTGTAGTTGGTGGCAGAAAAGTGGAGATGTACGAACCTTAATGCTTAGAAGGGGAATCCCCTTCAAAAAATAATGGGTAGCACTTCATTGGAAGATTCTTCCAGTCGAAGTCTCTTTCGTAAAAAAAAACCCACCAGTGGCTATGTGGTCTTCGTACCTTGAACACGGGGGAGTTCGTTCGTGGGTTCGCACCTTGTTCAAACGGGCTGGCCACGTGGAGTTTTCCGGGTTTTCTCCACGTCTGTAACGCCTAAATAGGGGCCAGTTTCCTTTAAAAACACCTCCCAGAAGGCATTTCCCTAGGCAGATCGCCTAAGTATTGCGTTGCCATAACTTAACAAACAAACAAACACTTTCCATAAGGAACAAGAAATTGATCTAAAGTTGATTGTCTTACTCTTTTAAGCAAAATCGTTCTCAAATGCGATAGCGCGTTGTCGTTTTCTATTGCCACTATGCCTTTTTTCTTTCTTTGATGTCATATTGATTAAATATATAAATCACAAAACTGAAAAAAGAAGTATAGCACAAACACTCGGAAAAGCAATGCTTAACTCGCGCATGCCTAACACTAACTAAAATTTGACACAAAATACCATTCGTTATCCGAGACAAAATTTTTGCAAAATAAAAGTTCATTAACCGATTTGGTCGTTAACCGGGGTTCCACTGTATAATGAAAAACATGCTAATTTCAGCAATCAATGTAATCATTACTCAGAGTTTCAGATTATATATATATATATTTGTAGTTTAATAATATATTTATTTAGTTTAATAATAATTTTATTTTAGCATCTTAAAACAAACTCTCCAACTGAAAACTTATATTAAAGACATGGTGAGTGTAATTTTATATATTTTTCTGAACTTAGAATTGATAAATTATGCAACTTTTTGAGCAAAATGTATTAAAATTTCAAGAATATAGCTAATACAAGCATATAATTACAGAATTGACTTCATTTTCCATTGAAATTTTACAAATTTCAGTTTGCTTGATATGAAATCATTAATATAATTTTTTGGACAATTTGGGGACATTTTCACTGTAGTGAATTAACTTAAAATACCTTTGAATATATATAAGCAGATTTTTTTTATGTAGTATTTTTAAAGTTATGAAGTTTGGCATTTAAGTTTAGGCTGTGATTCATTATAAACATAAGAACATAAGAACAAAATTCAAGAGGTTTGTCCTTTGGAATTCAGCATAAAGTTGCTATTGAGAACAAATCATACAACAACACTCCTTTTGATAAAAAAGTAAATTTATTTTCTATAATTTTGAATGGTTATGCATTTTGGGCTTTATGCCCCCCTCTTCAGTCCTTATTTTATTGTGTATATCAGTAAAAACGATATAATTTAATATACTTTATAATTTCTTATATTTAACATATTCATACAAAAAATTTTCAATATAATTACCTAAAAATAATTATAGTGACAGCTAGAATAACTAATTATTAAAACAGTGGGATAAAAATAAGTAAAACTGAAAAAATAAAAAAGTAAGTAAATAAAAATGTAATAAAGTGTTAAAAATAAGAGGGTAATACCTGGAAAAAAAAATTTTGGTGAAAATGTATAAAAAATTTGACTAATAAAAGGTAGAAACAAAATCCTTAAAACCAGTAAAAACTGGTTAAAAACAAGGTATAAAAGCTTTCACGATGTTTATCAAAAGTCTGATCCTTTGTACAATACAGTGGATTAAAAGGGGAGGGGAGGAAGATCATCTTAAAATGGACTATCCTTATTTTGGTAGTAATGATTGACAGATCTCATTGATGACAATGCCAGTGTTTAAATTCATTCTATGAATTTTATTTCAATAATTTTGACACTGTCAAGTGAGATCTCGCAACAGGCATGATTAGTGTGTGGCAACTGCCGAGTTGGTGTAATTATACTTCACAGCCCTTATATGCTCTCTTATTCTAATTTTTAACATTCTACCTGTCTCACCTAAGTAATATTTTGGTGGACATGTACAAGTGAAGGTGTAAACTAAATTATTAAACAATACATCTATTTCACTATTAATTGGTCTTTGATTTTTTAAGAAATTTGAATTTATTTATTGTGCAGGCTAGATTAATAATATATGGTGTTAATATTTTTTGGACGTTTTCAAAAACTATAGAGGTATAATCTAGTTTATTATTTGTATTTTAGGCATCAATTGTTTTATAGCATAATTATATAGCCATTTGTTAATAATTTTGTTGGAGGTAATTATTTAATTGAAAATGTGGTATATATGCTTGATTTCTATGTTTTGATCCGCTATATCACTTGTACCATATGTAATTTAATTTTGTTTACACACACATTGAATATGTTCTTTTTTATATACATAGGTGTGCCGGAATAGAAATTCATTACTTTTCCGACACCACACGGTTTAATATATTTTTCAAAAGTGATAAAATCATCATATCTTTGAACTGATATCTGAAAAGTTTAGCCTGCCTTTATTTTTATTTTCTATTTCAAAGAATATATTTTGGATATTATTAGTGTATTGAAGTATAATTTGTGAGTTGGTTAATTTTGAGTTATAAACAGCAAAGCAGTTGTCAACATAATGATTGTAAAATATTACACTGAAAAGGTTTTTGATAATGTTGCTGAATTTTGCATGAAAAAATTGACAAATTTTGGACCAATGCAAGAACCCATAAAGATGCCCTCTAATTGTCTAAAAAATTACCATTACAAATAAAATAATTATTAACTAAAACAAATTCAACAATTTGAGTTATCCAGTTGTCACAATTTAAACTATGTAATGTATCTATTATAAACTTTTTATGGATAGAAGGATACATATTTTTTATATTCAAGCTCAACATTCTAATATCTATTTATACTAAGTTTTTGGAGTTTTCAATAAACTGGTCAGTATTTTTAATACCATTGATTGAATTATCAAATATACTTAGTTTAACTTTAAGGAATCTCTCTAAGTTGTAAAGTGTGTAAAATTTAATGTCAAATAGTGGATAGCAAGATTCATTTATTTTGCAGGTTTTTACTCTGATGTTGAGCCTGGGTATCCTCCAGTTATAATATAGTATATTATTAAATTTGTTTACATTGATATAATTAGATTTTTAAATTTTTAACCATTTTTTCTTATCTTTCATGTATGTTTAATGTAGGATCTTCAGTTAAACTATAATAGTGTGAAGACAAGATTAAATTTTAACTTTATTTAATTTTAAATTTATTTCAGTTTATTAAAACCATGGGGTAAAATAAGAATTAGTTATTCTAGCTGTCAATATAATTATTTTTAGGTAATTGTATTTTGAAAATTTTTTGTACGCATATGTTAAATATAATTTAATGTATTCTGTAATTTCTTACATATTTTATTATGTATATTAATCAAAACTAAGGACTGAAAATGGGAATAGAGCTCAAAATGCATATCTATTCTAAATTATAAAAAAATAAATCTACTTTTTCCATCAAAAGGAGTGTTCTTATATGATTTACTCTCAATAGCAACTTTATGCTAAGTTTCAAAGGGCATACAACTAATTGAGAGAATAGTAAGCAATCCAGTACAAAAATTCAAGTTATAAACTGGTTTAATTACCTGTCATGGATATCAATTGGATTGTTTGCTGTTAATAGTAACACTCAAAAAATTTTTACTTATAAAACAATTATTAACTAAAACATAAATAAGTGCTTTATTGTTCCTATGTTACAAATCATCTTGTGTAAACAGCTTGCAAGAGAATCAATCATTTCTTACAAAATTTGTTCCAAAGATCAGACAACAAAGAAGATTATGCAAGAAATAAATTTACTGCTAACTTTAAAAAATATTTCCAACAGTGCAATGAGCAAGCGCAAAAAATTTGTTTCTAAAACTTTCATTCTAATTTTTATTTTTTCTAAATTCAGTCCTAAAACTTAATTGCCAAACCTTGCCCAAAATTTTCATAAAGTAAAAAATTTGAATTTCTTCTAACAAATTATTGATAAAACTCACACAAACTGGATAACTAATACTGGGAGCTCAATAAATTCATCAATACATTCTACATTCAACAATTGCTGAACTTGAGCACCTACATCAATAACAGTTTCTACAGGTTTCACCTGAATATTTAATTCTAAAAACATTAAGGAAATTAATTTTTTTAAGCATTATGTATAATTTTCTTAAGTTTTATTTTTATATTTACATATAAAACTACAAAACAATTATTTACTCTTTCATGAGGAAAAACAAAACTGATTCATTCATTTAAATATTTTAAAAGTTTGACTAAAATTTGTTTTTGCCAGTCTGAGTTCTAAATAAGACAATACTAGAACTTTTGGATATAATACTGTTACCTTTAAATTACTTTCCATATTTTGAATTTAGACTTTTGTGCAATCAGCTGAAACAAAAGTTTCAAGCTACCATGAGCATACTTTCTGCTACATAGTTTCAATTAAATCAAAATCATTTGTCATCTTATTTTACTCAATGACTAAAATTTTAAAACACCAACTTTTAACAGTCACAGTAAAAAAACTTTACTACTTTGAGATTTGTGTTTTCATTCTCTGAAAATGGAACTCCTTTTATAACGTGAAACTATGCTTCACTTTCATATACATTTTTAGGAATGTGTCCATGACCAAAAAGTATTGGGAATGGTTCAATACAATGCAAGATTAAAATTTATTCATCAAAATTTATTTCATCCCTTAAAGTAATTTCCTCCCACTGCAATGCATTTATGACATTTTTTACTAATTCTTGAAACATGCTTTAAAGTCATGAAACCCTTTCAGGGTTTGCAGCAAATTTTGTTTTATGGCATCAAGTCACTCAAAAACAATGACCATGAGGTAGTTGAGGAAACAGGAAAATATCACATGGTGCCATATCAAGTGAATAGAGCGTGCAGAATCATTTGTTATATATTTTTGGCTAAAAATTCACAAACAAGAACATTGTAGACAATTGCATTACTGTGGTGCAAAATTCATGGGTTCTCTCACCAGAAATCAGATCACTTTCTACAAATTGCTTCACAGAGACAAAATGCTCAAATAGCAGCTTTTGTTGAGTTTGGCCAGCCAGAAGGAATTTGTAATGCACAACACCATGACAGAAGGAAACATGACCTTACTTTTTGACTGACAATCTTTTCATCTTGTTTCACCTTTTGAGTACCATTCACTTGATTGTTGAGCTGTTTCGGTATCAAAAGTATAGATCCATCAAACATGTTTCATTACTGTAATGATGCATTTTAAGAATGATTCACCTTAAGCTATTTCATTGGCCAATTGAACACATTTTTGGAAAAATTCAATGTTTTCAGGATGACTCAAGAAGCAATGGGCCACAACCCTAAGTGATCTTTTCAAGTTGCTTGACAATGTCCAAATAATACTGGAACATGTTCATAATGTCCCTAATTGCTAAATGACAATCTGACTTGAACAACATTTATTCATTAGTTAAAGTGAATGGTCTACTAAAACATGATTCATCTTTGATGCATTCTCTGCCTTTGTTGAACATCTTATACCAATCAGAAATTCTTGTTTTTGATCGAGTATCACCAAAGGCTTTCTGCAACATTACCAATGTTTGTGTAGCAGTAATTCAGTTTTAAAGCAAAATTTAATGCACATTCTTTGCTAAATTACACTCAACATTTTGAAAAATCCAACAATATTTACAACTGTATGTGGAGCCATCTCTTATGATAAAATTCAAAATTACAACTAGAATGGTTAACTAGTAAGAAAAATCAACACCTTAATTACACTCTTCTTGCTGGAAAATTATGTAAGGTGTTGATTTTCCTATCTGTGATGATATTTTATTAAAGAACTTTATATTTTTAATTATTATAAAATGACAAAGCTTAATTTTGAGGGTAGGGATGGGTTTTATAAAAAAACTGTAAATGCTAATAATGAATAAAATCATTACGTACAACCATAATCAAGATATGAAATGATCTCCTTTATTTTCCTACCCTGTCGCCCTTTAATCACCAAAATTTAATAGCGGCAATCAACAATATACAAATCTCTTTCAAAATTTCAGAAATTTTTGATAAAACACACATGAATTAAACTTAAAAGAGGGTGAGCAAAATCATGCTCCACACACAGAAAAGAAACCTGATTTTTTTGCATTACTGGACATTTCAAAGTCCAAAAATGTAAAAAACATGGGGTGGGTCATTTTTTTGACTGATTGCCAACTTTCCCTCTGTTATATATAACAGAGCCAGAAAAGTAAAAAAATCACTGGTGCAAAAATTCTTCACGTACAAAGCAAGCATTTATTTGCAAACAAAAACAGATTACTGTTAGATGTCAATGAAAGCCATACCAAATGACAACAGTGCCCTCTTGCATACACACAGTTTAAATGAACTATTCCTGATACTTTTTGATCAGCATAATAAGTCCTATAAAACTAGAAAACTCAAATCACTCAAAAGTCAAAGATTATTACAAATACTTTTAATATATGCAAACTGTTTATTAAAGCATGTAGCATTTTATCAAACAATTTAGCATTTATAATTATCTATCAGAACTTATATAATTTTTATGGTAGTCCAAAATACTGTTATAATAAAAAATTTTCAATAAAAATAATAACTGAAATAATTCAATAATTCAAATTAGACTTCAAAAAGATGAACTTATATTTCTAGAATGTTAAAAGTTTGCAATCTGTTGATAAACTACTTCATTCAGATAGTCAAACACTAGCATTTTTGGCCAAAACATTTAATCATTAAGCTATAACTCAATAGATTAGAAAAATGTCAGAGATAATTACAAAAAACTTTAAAGCATTTTCATCTCATTCAACTATATCACTAGACAACATATTAAAAATCTTACAGTATTAGCTTAAATCTTACAGGAAACTTTTTAAATTAAAACAAACTTAAAAACATTCGTGTCCTTTAAATTAAAAACTTGAGTGAAAAAATACAACTAAAAAGCTTGTTCTGTTACTAGTTATAGATACTGGAATTTCAACACTGAACAGTTTAGATTCACAACAATTCTCTTTGTATTTAGCAATTAAAAAAATTGTTCTTAAAGGATACTGTTAGAAAGTTCTCCTGGTGTCGATATATTTGGCAAGAAGCTTTGAAGTTGGAAAGAAGTTTTATTACCATAGAATATACCCACTCGTCCAAGATTTTTACGATATTCTGTTTTAATTCCTATCTGAATCAGGTCATTCTCAAACATAACCCCATTCTGTTTGCACAATAATCTGAAAAGCAAGATTTTTATTAAAATTAAATTTAATACACATTTTTATTACTTTAAAGTGTTACCTTTTCAATCCTTCTTCATTACTGACAATAATGCTGCTAGCAGTTTCTGGAGGTGTTGACGGAACAGTAGAATTTGGTGGAGAGCCTATTGAATCACCAAATACATCAACGAGAAGATCCATTCCACCTGCATTATTTGTGGGTGGATTTGAGAAATTTGTAGCCGACTGGTTAGCATTTTCACCTGACAGTCCTAAAAGATCCATTGTAGCATTGACTGTTGGAGCTGGCACCTAAAATTAAAATTATTGTAATCTTATTTTATTCCATAAAATATTAGAATACAGATCTTAAAGATTCAAGTGAAAAAAATAATACAGTATATCCTTATTGAATTTTGTTTCATTTCCTCAATTTTTATCTTGAATTATAGAATGCTTGATATCAATGTTTATGCATCTTCATATGTAAAGTTTATTACATGTGATATATACTAAAAATAACCACTACCAGGAAATTATTCAAGTTGAAAAGAAATAAAAATTTAATAATGACAATATTTTTATATAAAGAAATAAAACTTTTGTAAAAATTTTAATTACAAACAATTGATACATTTGTAATTAAAATGTAAAATTTCTTTATATCTTAATACTTTTACAGTTGTTCTAGACAAAGATAAATCATACCGAATTAACCAAATCACCAGTATGGCCAACAGTATTAACAATTGCAGAAGGTGATTGATGTTCTTTCGTCGGTGCTTCTGTCATTCCAGGTTTCTTTTTTTTCAGTACGGCCAATATGGAAGATTCTCGTTCAGGGAATGGAGGCATTTCTTCCAAAACTGTTGCCTGAAACACATCAAAATGAGTAATAGCATAAAACAGATTTTACAGTTCTTGTATTTTTATTTTCCCAACTGTTAGAATATAACATAGGAAAAAATATTGTAATAGATCAAATTTTTACTGCTTCTTTACATTTCTTGACCTTTGATATGCAAACAGCCTAAAAATGTAAACCCTTACAAAACTGTGTATAATCTATTTCCAATCTTATCTCAAAACTGGATAAATCAAAAATTTTGGAACTTGGGCAGGTTTATTTTTATACATGTGGCATTGATTCTATTAAATTTTGATAGTTAAAATTCAAGAAAGTGGGGAGATAGAGGGAGTTATGTCATATCTTGAGTGGGATTAGACAAAGTTACTTGTTACAGTAGAACCTTGAAAACTCGGCCTAATGTGGACCGAAGGGTGGCCGAGTTTGTGAAAATGCCGGGTTATTGGGAATGGGGTTAAAAAAAATAAGTATGAGTGTTTCCTCAGAAAATACTGTACTGTACTTGTATGTATTGTTTACTTAAGAATACAACAGAAAATAAACTGCCCAAATACCCTTAAACAAAGGAAAAGTACATCCTTTATGAAGGCATAGAGCCTTTACTACATGAAAATGAAAATTAATGAATACACTGTGTACAGTAATTTACCTGATAAGACAGACCTCAGAAAAATACTTTATGAGAGCTTTTATACTTTTATAAAGCTGTCTATAATGAAAATTAATTAACTAAGGATATTTTTGCCCTGCCAGGGTGTGGCCGAGTTATCCGGAGTGCCGGGTTATCGAGAGCCGAGTTTGAGGTTCTACTGTATTAGCATTTACAATTTATTTAAAAAGTAACTCCTACACCAAGAATAAGCCTTATCTCTTGATAATTAGTTAGATAGTTATGTAAATCTGTCTTTTTCCTGACCATATATCCAATTAAGAGTTAGATGTGTGTAGCACAATTATTTTTGAAAAGATTTCTATTTTACATGTATTCTACATATTTTGACACTTGGTACAATTTACATATTTCCAACTGGTTTTTCTAAATATTTTTAGCTTTCAGTATTTCTTGTTTCTGTAGATGCCGTTAATGACTTCATTTTGATTTTGGTTCAATGAATAAACACCCATTTCATTCACAGCAATCACTATTCTAATGGTGGTAGACAAGCATTGAAAGTCAACTTTAGTGGGATTGAATTTATAGTAATATTTACCATAAAACTTAAACTTTGAGTTCTGTAATATGCTTCTTGTCTAGTCTTGTATTCAATTTTATGAGCTCTGACAATTATCATCTGTATGTTATCAATTGTCACCATTTCTGTGCTTCTCATAACCATGCAAGTTAAAAAGTTTTACAAATTTTGTAACAGTGCAAAAATTGTGTTAACTTGTATGCGTTATTTCCGAAACAGTTACAAAGAGTTGAAAAGGGACTCTTTTAAGTCCATACTCTAGGAAATAAAAATGTGACTTTCTCAAGATTGTCCTGTTTCTAATTGATTGTGTAATAAGTCTAACAGAAAAGAAAAGCCATCAGAGAACTCATAAAATTGAATTTAAACTCTCTCATTTCAATGTTTTCCTGTGGCAAGTCACTAATAAAATCTATTAGTCATTTTGACTTAGAAAACAAATAATATTGGTCAAGCCATTTAAACACATCTAATTTGTCAAGTAGAAGCAAATAGAAGTCAGAATATCTAACTATCTTATTTACAGTAGGAAATGTTTGACAATGGATCTCCTCCCAAATTAACAATAAAACCACCAAACAAATACATAAATAAATAATAAAAAGTATAATAAATAAAACACTGGATAAAAATAAGAATTATATAGTAATCTTTTGCCATCATTCTTAAAATAATAGAAATCAACATGGAGTAAAAATTCAAAATATTGGTATTTTGAAAAATGGAACAGAAATAGGATCTGAGATATTGATAGCCTAAAAATAGATGTATAGATGGATGGATGCTATGTTGCAAGTTTCATAAGGAAACTGAAATAAAGTTAACTGAATACATGTGGCATTATAGTATAATAAAATATTTAATATGTTCATTAAATAAGAGGCATCTGAATCTTGACCTAGCAATACTTAGATGAGTAAAGGATAAGTGAACAAAATATATCTTACGTTAAATAAATTCTGTAAGTTCTTTAGAAATTTTGCCCAGAAGGGAACAGGCAGTCATAGTATAGATCAGTAAGCAATAGTCTAATAGACTGAAAGGTGATGTAAAAGATGGAATGTAATAAAATTTTAGAGGATAAAGGGTGGAAAAAACCACAGAATGTGTGTCAAATGGCAAGAGATTTAATTACTGTGTGTCATTTGAAAATAAGTTTGTCAAAAATGATGCCGGGATCATTTAAAAATTTGATATTTACTTACAATTAGCAAATAAGTTGAAAGACAATTCATGTTTAATGAATTGTCTTTCAACTAGCCAACCTAAAAATCTAAAAATCAATATCCAAAAACTGCTGTGCACTATTGCACATACCAGTTTTTGGATATTGATTTTTAGGTTGGCTCTTTCAAATAAATCTCACAACAAGTTAAGATCAGTTTGGAGTGTAACAGTCTGGTTAATTCATTTTATAACAGATGATTTAAGTTAACTGAGTATGTTCTCAAGCAAATTGTAAAAAAGATTGCTTAGGACCAAACCTTATTGGATGCCACTGATTAAGGAAAAATCAAGGAGTTCAAAAGCTCTTATTTTGATTGTAAAGTAATGCGAAAGGAAATAATTGTTAAACCAAGAATGATATATAGGATCTACAGTATGCCAAATTGATTAGTGCATAATAAAGTAGGAAATTAAAAAGAAGAGATTTGAATTATCGGCAAATATATATAATTTGTTATGGGAGTTCTTTTCGTTTTTAAAAATAGCAATAATAGATGAAGAGAACCACTGATTAGGAACATGACTATATTCAGCTAGCTTAGTAAACAGTCTGGATAAAAAGGTCAGCTGATATAGATTTTAGTTTTTTTTTTTTTATAAAAGATTGCTGGAATAAGATCTGAGTTATAGTTAGATGTATTTAGGGGATCAGTTGCTAATAGTAAGGAATTAACCTTTAGCCTGTGACACCTAACAATGTCAGTAGTAATGAATGGGCTAATTAAGTATCGTGGACATATAAACAGTAAGTTCACATTTAGTACTGATACAAATCTTTAACAATTTTCTAAAGCAATATGAACATTAAATTTTTGTTAACATTCTTTTATACAATACCAAAATTGAGCTTGATTTCAGAAAAATAGAAAATGTGAATGAATTTAAAGCAGAATTGACCACAGATGGAAAGATGATCATCTGCAGTGTTTATGAAATAGCAGTGCCAACAAAACAATTCCAAATACAGCAATGTAGTTCTACATTCAAAATCTACATAACAAGTACAAAAGGAAACAATTCACCCAACAGCTTTTAACCAACCTAAATCCAAATACTTCTAGACTAGGACCTGAAACATCTGAGTTCAGTCATACCCTAGTAAGTACAGACATTCCATTGTGGAAAGTGAATAATGCAACCTTTAAAAGATTTCTAAAGAAATATCAATATATACAAGAAATAGTTCCAGATCAGTCAACATTATGGAAAAATTACTTTAGTTCCTACATACAAAGAAATCATAACACTGTTTTGGGAAAAAGTCCAAGATAATCTGTTTCATTGATGGGTTACCATCAATAAAACAGACCAAGACAGAAACATTGCAAGCATCATCATTGATGCCACAAAGTGACAAACTGACCAAACCACTGCTTTTAACATGCAGACTATTGGAAAAGTAACCATCAGACCATAATGGGTTATTTAATACCATACTGATATTATGGAACATCATATTGAGTATGAAAAGTATTCCTATTGACTTACAATGTCAAAGTCTGGTAATGCTTTGAAGGTGGTGTATCCAAAGATGGTCCACTTGATATGTTTGTCACACAGGTTCCACCAATTACCCAAATGCATAAGACCACATTATGACTAAGTGGACTTGTTAATTATTATTGTAGTTCTTTTTGAAAGTGTCAAGCAGAGTTATAAAAAACAAGGAAATGTGTCCCTCTTGCTGCTCTTATACCCTTGTTCCAGTGATCATGTTTAGAAACCTAGAATATTTGGTGGAAATTTTTTCATAGTAAATATGATGATCAATGAGTTTGGCCTGAACAGCATGGCTAGCATTGTCAAAGCTCAACAGCTGTCTGAAATAAGTTTCAGAAAATTCTGGCATACATTTGTTCAAACTTTTCATGCCTTGGAGCCACTGTTACCCATTGGAAGTCATCTGAAATTGACTTATGCAACTTATTACACATTGTGATAATCAACAAGCTAAAATTAAGAAAAAATTTAAAGATGCCTTGAAGAATCCAGGTTTCAAAAAGTTTGCAACATTTCAAGAACACTATGGGGAAAGTTCTAAGTGAAAATATATAGTATACAAAGTCCCAACAATCTTGCATACAGTCGACCCCCCTATAACGTACGTTCCTATAACGACAATTCCTATAACGTAGCGAAAAAATTGTAGCAACTTTCGTATAACGTACCTCCTATAACGTCGTTTCGCGACAAGATTGATAGAGTCTGGACCAATAGTGGATGAGCAGCCGAACTACTTTCCTCCGACCCTGCGCCACGCTACGGAGCGGCTAAATTGAGTTTGCTATCGTCTGTTTAGTATTATATATAAATTATATATAAATTAGGTACTGTACATATAATTATATATTAATTATATATAAATTAGGTACTGTATATATAATTATATATTAACTTAATTTATTGTAACTTTATTATAATTATATATATGCTTTCTGCCGCCTGGCAACACGCTACGGAGATTTTAGGCTAGTAAGTTGAGTTTATTATCGTCTGCACAGTATGTAAATTAGGTACCGTAAGTCTAATACAGCACTAATTTTATACATTTCTTGTGAAAGAAACACTTCTTATTCAACGGCCATAAAAATTATTTATATTAATGATGTCTCCAAAGGTCAAGTTATCTTTCTGCGATAAATTATTTATCAGATATCGCGGCCGCCGTTTCGTGTGCTGTTCCGCGACGAAGACAAGCTTTGAACAACGGGCGTAGTCGAACGGTACACACTCGGTAAGTAATCCTATAATTTTTTGTTTATAGCATAGTTTATACGGATTACTCCCAAAAAATTATACGTGTTTTGGAAATGTTGAGTCGAATTAGTCTAGAATCGGTTAATTTTATAGAAGAAAACCTTTCGAACAGCCTTAGTCCGTAAAGTTCCCACCTATCGGGCTGCGATTGGCTCATGTATTTAATCGTTCCTACAACGTAATTTTCGGTTAGCGTGGAACGTATCTAAGCGTTATAGGGGGGGTCTACTGTACTTCCAAGTATGCACATCTCGTTATCCAATGTTGAAAGATGTTTCAATTTAGTATAACATTTTAATTTAAAGCAATTTGAAATTTAAAACCAACTTTTGTAACATTGTTATGGAAGCCACTGTATAGATTTGTAAAACAAGTTTTACATATTTTGGTAACATACATGTTTCAGGAGAAATTAATACATATGCATGTACATATTTCCATTATTTTAATACATATCTATCTGGGCCTTAATAAATACAAAACTTTTTAAAATAAAATCTTGTAACAGATGATGTGACAAACAACTTTGAAAATATGAGTGCCAGGAAAATTGTGCAAGAGCCTTTATAAAAAGTGCAAACTTTTTTATAAAAAACTTACCAACACATCACTAGAAGCAATGTTGCTCAAATGAAAATATTCGACAGTTCTTTGTTGTAATTCAACATCAGCACTTCGAATGTTGCTATCACTATTTAAAACCTGTAAGGAAATGGTTTTTAATGAAAGTTAGTTAGAAGAAAAACTAACTTAACTTACTTACTGTCTGTATATTATCTTTGATTTCAGGGAATAAATTTATAAATTTGATGTAGGTTGTCAAGAGGAGTGCACGTGTAGGAACTGGACACAAATGATACTTTGAGTGCAATAGTTGAAATTGCACTAAAGGACTGAAAATTATAACATTAAGATATTCAAAATTTGTTTTATAATTCTGAACTAAAAATAATTTTTTATTAACATTTTTATTATTAAAAAGCCAAAGACTGATCAAATTAACTTAATAGAAAAAAAAAACGTTTACAAGAACCTTACTTTATTTAAGGACTTGTTATATCTAGAAGTGTGCACAAACTACAGGACAACAATTGTTTTTCATAAATATTGTAAAACAGATCTGTTATTTACAGATTTGTATTACAATATATAAAGTAAGGTTTTCATAAATGTTTTTCTACAACACTTATAATAAAAAACAAGATTCATTAATCATAACTTAAAGTACTATCTGTACTAGTAAAAATACATTTAAAACATAAAAGGAATAAATTAAAAATTTCTTTAACAAAAGATCAATGTATTAAAGCTAACTATACCTAGATCTTTGATCACCAGCTATTAAGTTGCCAAATTCGCCCAAAATATAACCTGCTACTTTTACCATATTCTCATGACAGGCAGGAGCTTGTAAAGCCTAAAAAGATATTATGTAGTCTGATAATTTTGATAAGTTCTAAAATTAAAAAAAGTTTTATACCTCAAACACAGTTTTAGCTGCATAACCTTGCACATCTTCTCGATTAATAACAATCTGTATTACTCTATACCAAACCTAGAAAAATTTTTAAACAGTTTACTATAAATTCATATACAATTATTCAAAAACACAATACAAGAATTTATAATTACAATAATTATGCAGGGTGAGTCAAAATTATGTGAACCATCCTGGGTGAGTCAAAATTATGTGAACACTAAGAGAGAAAACATTTACTCAAAGTTTGAGTTATTACAGAGTCTCAACCTGACCACTAGCATGATTAATGCACTCAAACCAACGTTCAACAGTGCAATTTAGTGCCAGAACACCAGAGATTGGGGAGGCCATAACAACGGTCCATCACAACCAATTGGAATAGTAAATGAAACAAAATTAAGATGTTTCATTAATAATGTTTAATTAAAAATTAAGATTGTTCATGTTATTTTGACTCACTCTGTATATTGTAATAAAATTAGTAACTTATAAAAAATAATTTATTCAAAAATATTTTAATTATGAACACTAACTTCAGAATTTCCTATTGTAAAAAGTGAAATTTGCCTATTTCATAAAACAAATACATTCATGCCACAGACAAATTATTTGAAACAAAATAAAGAATTATCTGTACTCAAGATAATCATGAATATTTGATGATTCCTAATTTAAAATTTGATTGCAATGATACTGAACACTTCAACTGTCTAAAACTGCATACAATTGTTATTCCACAAATTTGTAGGGGATTTTTCGCAGTTTTCTTCTCAGTATACCAAGAAATTAAATGATCTATTTCAATAAAAAATCACAATTTCGAAAATACTGCTTATATTCAAAATTAAAACTATTCAAATTTCATTTGATTTCAAATATATAATCATAATTTTATTTTTTTTGTATTTTTAAATTAAAAAATAGAATAATTAAAATATACATTCTAATATTAGCACATTGATTTGTAGCTATTCAACTTAAAGGCATGACAAAATCATTCATTTATATTAATACTTATATAAGCATATATTGTAAAGTTATCTACCTACCTTTAAATTAATTGTACAAAAATTATTTGATTCAAATTTGTTAAATGAAAGAGGGAAACAAACATGTTGAACTTTGAGAATTTACTTTCAAGATCATAAATTTAAGGTTGTCTTGTCAAAAATAAAATTATAGTCTTAATTAAAAGTTCACTATGATCTAACAGAGGGGTTCCACAATAAAATCTGTTGTCTAGTGATGTATGAATGTGCCAATGCAGATTTTAGATGAGGTGTAATTGTTGTAGTCTCAAATGAGGTCTTCTTACGACATCCTATACATGTTCTAGTTATTTATAGCTTTATAAACAGCAAGGACTGATTTATCGGTAACAGAACAAACTTTATGAAATCATGATAATCTTTGACAAGATAATTGAAAACCATAAAAACAATAAAACTTAACCTAAAGCTAGAAAATAAATAAAAAAAATCTTAAAAGTATCCAACATATAAATAATAATACAAGCATTAAATATGCTTTAATTTATCAATATCTGTAGTGCAAGTCTGATAATATTGTATATGTTACCGCTAAAGCTCAAAAGTCATTAATGTGTACATTACCTAGCTAATCTGCAGATTAACTAAAGTGATCCGTTAAAGTTGTGAAAATTGTTCCATTTCTCAAATTACCTAGATAATGTGCATATTATCTAGGTAATCCGCACATTACCTACTAGGCACTCGGTAAAGTGAAAATAAGATCTTTGCCACAAAAAAAAATGTACCACAAATAGGTGTGCTTGTCGCAAAAACCAATTGCTATGAAATTCAAAGTGTCATCAATCTTTAGACTGCACTAATAAGTAAGCACAATTGGATAATGTTACCTATGGTGAGTAAAATGGCGGCTCGTCTCTGATTCCAGCAAAGAGAAGAAAGGAAACAGTGGGGACGCACGTTCAAACCTAACCTAACCTATTCTAATAATTTGGTTGGTAATAATTATGGTAATTTATTAGAATAGGTTAGGTTAGGTTAGAACGTGCGTCCCCACTGTTTCCTTTCTTCTCTTTGCTGGAATCAGAGACGAGCCGCCATTTTACTCACCATAGGTAACATTAACTGCACAATTATATCATGCGATCACCAGAAAAAGTATGATAACTTTATTATTTTTCGTCTCCGGTCCAAAAGTAGGGTATCGTTGAAGTCGTCTCGGTCCCCTCAGTTCAGATAGATACTCAAAGTCCCGAAATTCCATAGGTGGTTATCTATATAATAATTTCCCTAATTGTATTAATATTTTAAACCGTTTGATTTTTTGTATGTTTTTTAATTGGTTGATGATTGATTCTATCAACTAATTTGTCGATTGTTTGATTGTATTAACTTGATTCTTTAGATATCGAAAATTAAATAAAGAACATTATGTTAATTTAAGTGTACAGAAATGTTGCTGTTGTTCCAGCAAAGATCTTATTTTCACTTTACCGAGTGCCTAGTAGGTAATTTGCAGATTACCTAGATAATCTGCACATTACCTAGGTAATTTGAGAAATAGAACAATTTTAGCAACTTTAACAGATCACCCTAGTTAATCTGCAGATTGGCTAGGTAATGTACACATTAATGACTTTCGAGCTTTAGCGGTAATGTATATACTCTGATACTAGTTACAGAACACTCAAGTCAGATGAGCATGTGTTGTCAAAGGGTTAATTAATGTTCCATCATCTGTAGTGCACTATAGTGCAATGGTACAGTGTACAAGCAGGCATATCAGTCAAAGATTATTAGTGTTTTGCATTGCAATCGTTTTGTGATATCTTCAGTATTTTTCATATAAAAAATATAGTGGAAATTGTATAAAATTATAGTACTTTTAGTATTGTATATACTTCAAATTAAAAATATCATTGAGTGTTGACTGAGGAGTTTTGAAGAACAAGCAATTATTTATTGTGATATCGTCACAATGCCAGGCTGCAATTTTCAATCATATTTTTAATTTCTTTAATTTAAAATATATGCTCTCCATCTCAAATTAATAGTCTTGCCCCTGTACATCATACTTTTCCTTTAACAACAGTGTCATGCCTGTCATCTATCTAACACCTTCAGGGAGAAAATTTTTGAATTGACATAACTTCTTGTTTGCATTGGAAGGTCACATATAGTTAAATCAGGACCTTTTGTCCATAAGGTTTCCATATTTAGTCATATTTATAAGAAAAGACAGATGGATGAACAATAGTAGGAATTTATAGATCTACAATTTTTTCAAATTGCAGCCTAAAAAAATAGCAAATACTTCAAATTTTTCTAGTGACAAGGAGACAAAAGGGTAGATACAAATGAAGGTACAAATCCAGGCACTAGGGCTGTTTAAAATATTGAAAGAAAAAAAATTTAACCCTCTGCACTAATGACTAGTTTGAATTAAGCAATAATATTTGCTTTCCATTCATTTTTTTTTTGCATTTCCAATAAATTGTTTTTGATTTTTTTATTTGCTGTTTTATCCATAATCATTAAAAACTGTCAGGGTTTCAACATCTTTTACCAAGGTGAAAAGGGTTCCGTGATAAAAATAAGTTGGAAACTGCTGATCTAACAAACTCATTTAGTTTTACCAATAATTGAATACTAGCAGACTTATGCAGATAATCTGCCTTTAAAATTAGAAGAATCAGAACATTGTTGACATGTTACACTATGGATTGATTAAACAAATCTAAAAAATTCTGCACCACACCACATGAATTTCTGACTCCAAGAGCCAAAAATCAGAGGAAACCTGTTTCAAACTTCTGTTATCCTTTCCATAATTATTAGCCATTCATAGTCACAGTTTAACACTAAGGCTATAAATGCTAATAAATTTGAATAATTTGACAAAGTATATATATACTTTGTCAAATTATTCAAATTTATATATATGTGTATGTATGGGTATATATATACACCCATACACACACACACACACTCAAGAACACACCTGTAGACACTATCATCATTTGAAAAATTTCATTATTCCAGACAACTTAAAATTTTACCATTAAATCATTAAATTACATATAATCTAGATAAATAAAAAAAATAGCAACTAATTTCTCAAAAAAGAAAAAAATCTAAGCATTTAGTAAAGAAAAATCAACTCAATAGGAATAATCAGTTGCCTTTTTTTAATGCTATGTTACTATGTTTCCTAATGATATTAAATTTGTTGATTTAATTCAAATAGTTGGATCAAAAAGGAACACACAAACTAATATTTCTAGATCAAATTTTCTTATTACACACTACTTTTGATAAAATAATCATATATTAAATAGAACATATAGAAAGATCATGTAAGATGACAAACTTTGTTCCATTCATTTAGCTATTTAGTAAAAAATCTATGAATTCTAAATTTTCAAATTATATTTTCACTAACTTTAACTGATTTGTATGAAAATTTTTAATGTAAAGAATACTTACTATACAAGTAACCCATGTTATACGGGGGTTACCTGTATAACACTTCTATAGCATGGGTTCACTCTAACACGGTTCAGGAATTGGGTAAAACCCTCGTACAACATAAAATGTAATAAAGGATGCATTCTTTTATACCTCGATGTGAGCATTCTGATTATTTTTGTGGCTTTTTTGAATGCTCTTTCAACAAATAATCCATTTAATGGTTAAATTTTACAATTGGGACCCTTCTTTTGCCTCTAAAAGATCATTTTAGAATTATAGGTTCCTCCATCACAATACTATCGATAGTGCAGGCGCCACCATCTTTCTTTCACCATCGTTCCTAAATGCCTACAAACAGCAGTGCACTCACATTGCAGAGTGACTGCTATTAATGAACGCACCCAAAAACTGTTACCAGTTGGTGATGCTCATGCTGAGATCATCATATAGGATGAATAATCCTCTGGTAAAATATTTACTTAAATAATAAATAAGTATTTTACCCATGAAAAAAATGAATAATAAATCCAATTTAAATAAGGATTTAACAACATGTTTTTTTAATTTTTGGAACCTAATCTCCCTTTTCGCACTAGTTCTTTGTTTCATATATAACACGACAACCGTGTTATACGAGGGTTACCTGCATATAATATTATGTATATAGTGAAAGATGATTAGTACCAATACAGTAGTCTCTCGAAAACTCGGCACTCGATAACCCGGCAGTCCGGATAACTCGGCCACACCCTGGCAGGGCAAAAAAATCCTTAGTTACTTAATTTTCATTATAGACAGCTTTATGCCTCAAAGTATTTTTCTGAGGTCTGTCTTATCAGGTAAATTACTGTACACAGTGTATTCATTAATTTTCATTTTCATGTAGTAAAGGCTCTATGCCTTCATAAAGGACGTACTTTTCCTTTGTTTAAGGGTATTTGGGCAGTTTATTTTCTGTTGTATTCTTAAGTAAACAATACATACAAGTACAGTACAGTATTTTCTGAGGAAACACTCATACTTACAATGCCGGGTTATCGGCGATAACCTGGCATTTTCACAAACTCGGCCACCCTTCAGTCCACATTAGGCTGAGTTTGAGAGACTACTGTAGTAAGATTAGTATGATTGTTATTACCAACATCATATAATTTTGTGTTATAATAAATTATATTCAATGAGAACTTATTTTATAATCCTATTAAGATTATAAAAAAATATTTAAATATTGTTCAATTTCACTCAAATTATAGAAGTACTATGCTAATTTGAGTTTTAAATTATCAACTATAAAAATAGTAGCAGATACTTTGATATGACCTTAAACAAACACACTAAAAAAATTATAGAACTTAAAAAAATTACTGTAAAATTTTTCATAAATATTAGCAAAACTAACTAATAAACATACCTCTTCACTAACATAATCTCCTGCAATGCGAATTAAATTCAGTATAACATCAACATACCATGTATAATCTGAAGCATATTTTTCAGCCAAAATAGCAACTTTTAATACCTAAAATTTTAAAGATTAAGTAAGCTCAAAAAAGAAAAAAAAACTTAAAAATTTAATTAATTACCATTTCTTCTCTTATAGAATAATCTGCTGTTTCTAAATAAGACAGCATTTCTCCAACTATTTCTTCTGCATTAGATTTATCACACATAGCATAGAGTAAGTCTACTGCTCTTTGACGAACACTTACATCTCGTTCAGTCTAAAATGAAATTCTATGTTAATGACTAGTTCAAAAATAAACAAACTAACTTCATTTATTTACTTTTAATGCAGAAATAATTGTTTCTTGATGTTTCTTCACAGCTTCATGTGAAAATTCAGAAGTTGCTAATAAGCACATTGTTTCAAGAGCCAAATATCTGAAAGAAAAATAAAATCTCACAAGAACTGTACTATAACTACTTATTTAAAAATAGCAACCAAAAATAAATAAACTATAGAAAAATATCATCATCAAATCAACAACACTTATCATTCACTTAAAGTTGACTAGATTTAATTAAATGTAGATTATAGAATATTTTTGTCTGATGTATTATAATTTATTAACTACAGTTGTCTATGAAAAGAATCAACTCTGATATTAACCAATGAATATCAACCATTGATTGCTTAGTTGTGGCACATTACTTCTGGTTTCTCTCTCATTTGTTATACATGCCATTACCATTATAAATAGTGTTATGGAAGCTTCATGCTCTGGTATTGGAATACTAGGAAGTTTGCTATGAAGTCAGACCCAAGAGGTGATTTATGAGGTGTAGCAATATTCTGCTGCAAAAACAGAAAGGAGAGTCATTATTGCTGGTAAACCAGATAAAACAGTGGACAGCCTTGGCTACCAATGTCAGTTGTTCAACGGTAATTACTATTCTTAAAGCAAAGCCTTTCTGTACTTGGAAAAAACAGGCAAAGGACAAATACTCCAGATGATTTTGATTTATTAGTATTCAGGTGACATTCATAGTAGTTTGTATTGTGCAGGCAAACTTTCAACCCTATGCAGTCTATGCATTGATTTAAAAGACAACTTTTAATGGAAGCATTGAATCATTAAGGAAGACTGAATAACTTTGAATTTCATTATTGTAAAAGTAACCAGTATTAGGCATTTATGGAAGGAAATGACAGTTGCATCCAGAATTAATTTTTTGCAAACAATTCAAATGGTGGATAAAAGCCAATCCTATAAGGTGTGTTTCAAATTTATAAGGACACGAAAAAATTAAAGTGAAATCCAAATTTGCTGCATTAAGTGACAAATGTTTTATTAAAAATAACATGGATTTACATGTTTCCACATTGCAAAATAAGAATTTTAATCAAACATTAACATTTTGTCACTGAAAATAATGTTTATGAAACTCTTATACAAAAATTGTTACATATTTATCCGGACAGGTTTCAAATTGCAAAGTTTTCTTACAATTTAATGGCCAATGTAACCACCATTTAACTTAATTACATTAAATACTCGATTAGGCATAGTTTCAATTAGATTCTGAAGGAATTCAATCTTAAGTTTATCCCAAGCATCTGAAATTGCTGCCTTCAAATCATGAATTGTGGAAAACTGCTTTCCATTGGCATAAACTGTACGAACCATCATCCCCCAAAGATTTTCCATCGGATTCAGGTCAGGGCTTCTAGCAGGCCATGTCATCAGATTAATATTTTTACGTTTAAACCACATTTTTGTTGATTTAGAGGCATGCACAGGGGCATTGTCTTGTTGAAAGATCCAATTTGGTCCACAAATATTTGGTCCAGCTTCCAATAAATGATCTTCAAGCATGCCTTGATACTTCTTTGAATTCATTCTTTGAGTTATAAATGCTAAATCTGTGGTTCCGTTGAATCCAAACGCACCCCACACCATTATTGATCCCCCACCCATTTGGCGTTTTGAAAATATTTGTTTTTCGGTTCTTAAATCGTGCCAATAATACTTCCAACCGTCTGGACCATCTAAGTTGAATTTTTTTTCATCACTGAACAAAACTTCAATCCATTCTTCGGACCATGTCATGTGTTTTTGTGCCCAATCAAGTCTGTCACTTTTGTGCTTTAATGAAAGTGGTGGCATTACAGCTTTTTTTCTGAATTTTAACATTGGAGATTTATTTAAAACTCTCCACACTGTTGTGCTGCTACAAGGCAAGTCTAATTCTTGTTTTATTTTTCTTACTGATGTTTGTTTTGTGGAGCAAACCTTGATGATTTGTCTACAATCTCGAGGAGTAAGCTTGGGTTTTGGACCTGTCTTGAATTTTGGTACATCCTTGCCACGTCTTTTTGATAAATAATCACCAACAGTTGATTTTGGACGATTTATATATGCTGCAATTTCTCTTATTGACTTGCCTTGTGATTTATAGGCATCAATCTGCCCTTTTTCATAATCAGATAAATTCTTTGTTCTACCCATTTTAGAACGTTGAACAACGTAAAGAATTTGTATTACAATTAGATATGTAAGCTAATTTGCATATTTCAATGCTTGAAACTAAACAATATTCTGTTTAAGTCATAAAATGAGTGCCTGTCTGGATAAATATGTAACAGTTTTCTTGTATAAGATTTTCAAAAATATTATTTTCAGTGACAAAATATTAATGTTTGATTAAAATTCTTATTTTGCAGTGTAGAAACATGTAAATCCATATTATTTTTAATAAAAACATTTGTCACTTAATGCAGCAAATTTGTGTTTCACTTTAATTTTTTCATGTCCGTATAAATTTGAAACACACCTTATATGTATTTAGATGAGATTTAGATGAGACATAGGTGAATGAACATCACATTATCAAAATGCTGGCAAGACAGTGCAAAGTTCCAATTGGAAAAGGCAGATGATCAATAATTCTTCATGCTGGAAATGAAAATGGTTTTTCATTCCTAATGCCCAGCTTGTTTTCATTTCCAAAAGCAATAACCTAGACCAGGGATGGCGAACCTTTTTGAGTCTGCGTGCCACATAGTAAGCACATCAAGCATACTTTTCTTTAAAAATGATTATGCGTGCAGAAGTTTTCGACTTCTAGTAACTATATTTAAATTTGGCGGAATGGCCGAGTGGTCAAAGTGGTAGCTTATCGCTCTTGTAAACCTGAGATCAAAAACCTGAAAATTTTCAGGTGGTGATCCGACTTTCCATTTGGAGTTAGCTAAATAAAAAAGCCCTCTTAGTGCCCAAGGGCAAAAAGAGTTTTAAAAAACTATATTTAAATAAATAAAATAATATGCTGTAATTAGAGTAAATGTAAATAACCTGATTGAAAAAGATAATAAACCGATATTGTATAATACGTTATGTGCTGGATGATTTCTTCGACGTGCCACTTCGGGCACGCATGCCATAGGTTCGCCACCTCTGACCAAGAATATCACAAAGAAATGGATGAGGATGTTTTCCTGAAATGATTTAAGAATTAATTTATGATTTTTCTGGAATGTTGAAAATATGTTTTTATAGACAATACTCTATCAGTTATCAACTGGAGAGACCTTTGTTTAACAATAGTCAAATACAAGAAATGATAGACTAGCTAATTCAACATAGAATTTCATCTCCTGATCAACCAGAGAGCTGAGCTTTATGAAATAAATACAATGCATAAGAACTCCAGGGTAAGCTAAGAATTGATGAAGAGGATGCATTTAGAAGCCATATGGTTATTTGCTTGTCTCATTGTTAATTTAATCACATTGATGTCACGAAAAAAGCAAAATTCTTACGAACGTTTTCGTCTATGTGAAATAGACATCTTCAGGTCTCAACAATAGTGAACGGCTAGTAAAATAGAATGTTAAAGATATATTTCAATTACCCAGTTTTTGAGATATATTAATCACACTGAATTAATATGGGCTCAATTAAAAGCTTATGTCGCTTGACATAACATCACATTCATGTTGGCAGATGTAAAAAAAGTTAGTGGATAATGCTTTTTCATCAATAACCAAAGAAAATTGATGGTAGCAATTTATCACATAGAACAACTTATAATTAATACATCACCAAGCAGAGCAACTCTTCTGAAAACAAAAATGAAGATATCAATCTGAGTGTGGAATGAAATAAAAAGTAAAAAGGTCCTTTTCAAGACCATATAATACTAGTAAAAAACAGCCAAGTCAAACTTATATCCAAACTGAAAACTATTATATATTACCATATAAATAAAAGGAGAAGACACAGTTGTTGATAAATTCATGATTATTTACAGTTAATGCATGCTATAAAAAAATTAACAGGAGAAAAGTTGTGCAGTCATCTAGTGAGGAAAAAATAAAATTCAAATATTCAAATGACATATTAAGCAAGAAGTGCTGACATCATTAGGGAATGTACTGATTGGTTTATTTAAAGCAACATCAAGCATGATGATGTTGGGCTGCAATTTGAAAAATTTGTAGATGTATAAATTCTCACTGTCATTTGTCTGTCCTTAATCGTGAGAATGGCATTAGATGAAAGATGAAACCAGTTATGGAATCCCTGGGATGCAGAAGGCCCTGATTAACTATATACAAACTTCCAATGCAAACCAGAAATCATCATTTCAATTCAAAAATTTTCCCTGAAAAGTGTTAGCAATAGCATTATGCCAGTCATCTGTAACAGAAAAAGTATAATGTACAGGGGCAAGCTCCTGTACATTATACTAATTGACATGGAGAGTATATATTTTAAATTAAATAAATTACTGGGTTGCAATTTTTAATCACATTTTTATTGTAACAATGTCGCAATAAATAATTGCTCATTCTCAAATCAATTCTTTCCATAGACACACTGTAAGAAGAAAATTTTAATAGTCCTTTTTTCTTAACCAGACTTCATTTTGTCAAGCAATTTTAAATTTGAATAATATTAGAAAAAAGCTGTGTTGATAAAAATGAAGATTGAACTGAACAAATATTATCAATAAACAAATGATCTTGCATTAATGGCAATTTCATTACAGACAACTCTAATACACAATATAAAATCAGGAAATATTAAATTTTACCTTTACTTTGTAACTTAGTTTTTCTTCTTTTATGTGTAGAATTTTGAACAGCTATATCTGCTGTTTCAAACTTTTTTTTAAATGTTTGAATTGCTAACAGAAAATATTGATTTTTAAAAATTAATATTTTCATATATATTTATAATTTCAAACTTGTTCTAAGTTAATGTTCTTTTGCCAGTTTGACTTTATATTAATTGTATTAATATGAAAAATTCTGAACAAATCAATCTATTTTACAACTATAATGGAAAAGTTTGTTGTTTCTGAAGAACAACATTAACAAATGAAAATTTGTCTAAAGTTAAAATTATAGTATTGATAAAAATGAAACTTGCTATTTTTAATTTATAAAATTTTAAACATTAAATCACTCCAATTATATTATTGGAAAAATATTAGACAAAAAATAGATCTATTCAGATATCAATTTTTTCAGATCTTTACTTGCATTAAATGACTTAATTTAGATATTTTAATAACTATAAAATAGTGAACAATTAATTTTTTTTATAAATTTTAGTTTAAGAGAATATTTTTAAAATTTCTTTAAAATGGATTTCAACAAAAATAAGATTTATTTAATACCACAAAAAATTTCTGCCTCAACATTTGAATTATCTAATGATTGCATCCATCAGAATAAAAGTAAGATCTATTAAATTATAATGTAAACAATACATTCAAATTTAACAACAGTTTATCTTATTTAAGGGTTATTCTTATTTCAGTATGCAAACATGCATTGCTACTTTGAGAGTAAGACTACTTTCTCACTATAACTATATGCTTATCTTAAAGATTAAGCCATGCATTTGCTTACATGTCTGAAGAATTGTGGAAAATGTTTGAATTTTCAATAATCAATAGTTAATTAGTAGAAAATATATTTTTAAGTCAACATCATTCCACAGAAATAACTAAATGAGTTATATATTAATTTATAGTGTACAGAAGTTTGATGGTCCACAGTCAAATTAAACTTTCTTTACAAAATATTAAGAATGTAAATATATTAATTTTCAAATGTATTGTTGAACAAGTATTTATGTAATATACTTTTAGCAAAGTACAGGTAGCCCTCGGTTTACGCCGGTTCAATTTCCGCCAATTCACAATTCTCTATTTTACTGTGTAATTTCCCGATTTTCCCTATGCCAGACTGATTTACGTTTCAGTGTTAACGTATTTACCGAGCTGCGACATTGTACATTCGTTAAAACAAAGATTTTTATTGAATATATTTATTTTTTCTGTTTAATATTATTGGGTATGTATACATTTGCATTAAATTAATATTAAAATACTAAACGTTTAGGTACCACGAGTCAAGTTATCAAACTTAATAGTCCAATAAATGGCGTCCGAATCCATAGCACCATTGAATTTAACGTATCCTTTCAACTATGGAAAGTTTAATGGTTGAACTTTGTGAGTTAGATAATGATTGGAAGCAAAATGCAAATGTAAAAAGGAGCATCGTCGCATCCATTCGACCATATTCCAAAATTCTCAATGAAAGAAAACAAATGTAAACAATTAAAGATGGATACTTTTACCGAAAAATGTAAGAGATCCGAAACTAAAATTTTTAATAAAAACATTTAACTTTATTTTATGATAAAATACACTTTAAAAATTAAATTTATTTGTACTTTGTATCATATTGTATTAATAAACAAAATTATTTGCGTATTTTTCACTTATGTGGAACCTAACCCTATACCTCAGTGTAAATATGGGTTCGTTTTATGCCGATTCGATTTGCGCCGGGTTTTGTAGGAACGGAACTGTGGCGTAAACTGAGGGCTACCTGTACATTAATTTAAACACAGTAAAAATAAAGAAAGAAAGAAATAGATTTAAAAGACATTATTCAAACATATGTATATAAAAAAACAAGGCAATAGCATTAATAATTTAAGAAGAGAAATTCATGAATCATGGAATAGTAGAGGGTGTAATGGATAGAAAATTTAAAGTAGTAATAGTGGAAAAAAAAATACAGAATAAAGTAAGAATAGAAAAAATAACCAACCTAGATTAGTGAGTAAAGACACCTTTTTAACATTTTTAAAACCTTTAATTATTTAACAGATTTTATCCTTTTATACAGAAATATTTTAGAAAACATGTTATACTCTTTTTTATAGCTACTTCATGTCTTATTGGTGTTATATTAATAGTAGACAATAAAAGACCAGTAAGTAATTTTATGTTAAATATCATTGTCGGGTATATTATTATTGTTTTTATAAAGTTTTAAAAATTGTTATAGAATATCAAACCTGCTGAAGAGGGCCTTTAGGTCCAAAACACACGGTGTACAGGTAAAAAAATTTCTTTTTTGACTAAGATCTCCTATTTAGTAATTGGAAACTACACCAGTATAATAAGTCCTATTAATAAACAGGATCCAAGTAGAGAAGGATACAAACAAATTTATCAGAGTAAGGACAGAGGTAAAAAGAATACATAAATACCATTTTGGAAATATCTTAACCCTTCACTAATCATAAATTGCATGAAAATCTTTCCATAAAACAAATGATTTTTGGACACTAAAAATAACATTTATTCCTAATGTCAATTACATATTTACAATTTTTAGTTACCTTAAATTTGTTTCTCTGTGTGTCAGAAATTGTCCTAATTGATTACAACCTCTTACTAACAGATTTGGTTCACTAGAAAAAACAAATATATCACAAATTTAAAAACATTTTACAATAATGTAAAATATTTAACTTTTGTTAATATTAAGAAATAACCTGTCCATGTGAATAATAAGACTAATGGCTTCAAAAACAACAGCATTTTTGGCATTTGAATGTTGAACTTTCTTTGACTTAGGTGGTTCTTGAGCTTTATTCAATATAGTTTCTAGGCATTCATTAAGGCGGCCTCTTACAGCAGGATCATCTAAGTGAATATATAAAAAAAACCATGATTATATAATAATTAGAGTCATAATATATGACTTATATTAACTAGTAATTGAAGCTGACAATCTCAGAGTCATTAAAATAATATAAATCTGAATACTCTTAAATCTTGATGACAAATGTGACATTTTTCCAACATTTGTATAAAATATTTGGGTAAGCTGCAATATATCAAAATAATACTGAAGATACTATTTAACTAGTGATTCTCAACAACTGTGCTACAACAACTTATTGATGAATTAATTATTTAACTTACCTTGTTAAAAGAAGGCAAAAGAAAAATTTTTACATGGTGGGGATGTTAGTCTCACGCATAACCCCCAACTTGGAGGACCAGTGATACCATCTTAGTCTGGCTTCTATCCTCTGATCTGTTCATCATGAGTGATACCCAAGTTAAACAGATCAGAAGATAGGGACCTATCAAAAGATGCTGAACCTGCTCAAGTTCCCATATCAAGGTGGGATCTCAAAGCAGGTATCTAACTTTAAATTATATCAAATTTGATTATTTGAACAAGTAATCTGAATATTCTATTTATCTAACAAAGTATCATTGGAACAATGTTTTTAAATGTTAAGTACTTTTGAACTTTTAGTATAAAATTACTACTAAATAGTATTTCTGGCCTTTTCTTACACATAGGAATGAAATACAGTAGAGCGTCGATTATCCAAAAGTCAATTATCCGAAAGAATTCCAGTCGGCAAATTTGAATTTTCACCAGTGATGTGACATTGCAATCTTTGGCTATGTCTTGGGCTACTCAAATATTTTACATTTTTGATACTAAATTAACTTCTGAAGTATAATTTTTTATTGTTTTTATATTTTTCAATATATTTATTTTGTTTGTACAAAATAAAAAAATAATTTTTAACGATATAACAGTCTTCATTAGGCTTAACATCGACGAAAATTCAATGCAAAGCGACACACAACAGAAAAATTTCAACATGGGATAAATTAATATATTTTTTCATACATAATCGGTTATCCGAAATATCGATTTTCCGAACAACCCCAGTCCCCAATTGATTGAAATAATCGATGCTCTACTGTCAGTTCAACTTTAAAATTTTATTTATATCCAAAATTGTTTAATTGTTGAAATTATCCAAAAATTATATATTTTATTACATTTCTTCATTGATATAATCAAGTTACTATTAACTTTTCTTTTATATAAATTACGTATTTTTAATACAACTCTCAATCAAATTTAGTATTAATCCTTTCCAAATCAATATAATATGAAAAATGCAAATGTTTCTAAAATGACTGCAGGAAATAGAAATTTATCCCCAAATTGTCACAAGAAGCAAATTGGATAAATTGGATTAATCAGCTACATATTACAGATAAAGCTCATGAATCAGATAAAACCAAGATTAACTGACTATTGTTATGTAAGGTCTCATTTTACTTTGTTTAGTGGAGGCGCCGTTGTTGCTGCAGATCGCCATGTTTGATTGTTCATATTGCCGCTTGTTCTAGTCAGTAAGCTTGAAATATTAAATTACTTATTCATTAGTTGTGTTATGTTCATTTCTTCATCAATAACGTTCGTCTCATCATATCAAAACCTTATAGTTAACATTATCATTCTTTCATAAATACCAGTAACAATATTAATTTTTAACTATATATAAAGTATGTTGTATCAATGTCAAAAAACAGATAAAGCTGACATCCAAAAACTAGAAATTCCAACTTGCAAAGGGATCATCAATAGTACAGCAGTGTATGTCATAGTTAGAGGATATAGAGGTTTTTGAAATAGAATGTCCCTTCCATTCTGGTTTGATATGACATCAGTGCCCTAATTTTAAGATATTCATAAACTATCTTAAACTATCAATTTTATTCTAAAATTATGAAATTATTTTAGATGATTTAATAACCTTGTAATGTTTTCAATTTTATGAACTTACTTATATTAAGTATATAAATTGAAAAAAATCCATTTTATTGTAAGGTTATTAATCAATATTCAAAATTAAGATTTCATAATAGATTTTTAAACAAATTTGATATCTCTCATTCAATAGAATAAATTTACAAAATTGCCATTTTATCTGTCATATATACATTACACTGTATTTTCACTTACGCTTTCCTAATGTAACAAATCACAATATCAGAAGAGGACAAGTAACTTTTAGATGTGAGCCAGTTTTGGACCTTTTAGCATGACTGTCAACTCATGTAGAATAACAATTTTTAGACAGACTTAGCAGCTTTACAAACTGAAAGTAATCACTGTCTATATATCCCACATCGTTGGTATTAATGCACTGATTGGTTTGAGATGGCATACTAGCAATTCATACAGAAGCATTAACTAATACCTACACATCTTTTGCCACTTGTTGCTTTAGCACTTACCAAGCCACTGTCAATTTTTTATTCTGGTGGTTTTTTAATACTTATTATATATAGACTTCTTAAACATATATAACAATCCAGCCACACCCCAGTTTTTAAGTATATGCCTATTTGATTTATTAGCAGACTATAATAAGAGTAATTTGACTAGATGTAAGCAGTTAGATTGCCACCTCATGAGAATTTTAGTAATTATAATAAATTTTTAGTTCAGAATTTCTAGAAAGACTAACCAACAATGCCTGCTCACCATACAGTTATGTGAGATGCAAACCACCCGTGATTAATTAAAAATTTAATCGAAATAGTAAAATTTTAGACGAAAATATTCTATGATTTTGATGGGAAAATTATATTTTCTAAAACAAAGGAAACTGGTAAAAGTCACTTCCTTCAACGGAAGTTGGACATCCTTTTTGTTTTCCCCTTATCTCTTAAAATTTTAGTCACCCTGGGAGCTGTCAACCCCTCGGCAAATCCCCTTTTTTCCTGTTCACGTGGAAAAATTACGAGAGGCTGATTGGTGAAAATTCTTCAGAAACAGAAAGAATTTTGTATCATTCGGGGAGTACGCCATGAAATCCGAGAGAAGAAGGACGTATTCCACATCAGTTCCCAGCAACCAACACCCATACCAGAATCCCAAAGTTTATACTAAATGAATTATTAAGTCGAAAAACAGAGAAGAAAATGTTTAATAACGTGTTATTGAAGAATTAACCAAGATACGAACATTCATCCAGAACCAAAGATACAAGAAGAAGAATATAGAAAAATATTTAGAGGTAGTATTAATTTAACTGAAATTGTGAGCTCTCTCTCTCTCAATGATAAATAGCTTTATTCAAAGGTTTATTCTGTAAAATCTTATTTTTGTTTATTAAATATTTGTTTTATTTGTTAAAGGTCTCTCGTAATGTTTGAATTGGAATATTTAATCATCTCCTTCATGATTCAATATGCATGTTAATCCGCGTAATACAAATCTGATTAACTGGTGTCATTATACTGACATTGGATAGAGACTATAGTCTATATCCTATTAACTTACAAGCCCTCCTAGAAAAAGTTTTAGTGAGCCAATCTAATGATTGCAAGTCAGTGACACAGATCAACTTTCTATGCTCTTGATCCTCACAGATACATTGTCAATTACCCTAACCAGATCTCCATTGATCTCATGTTGAGGTAAAAGCATTAGCTGACAGTCATGCATGGCAATGGAAGCTAAAGTTGGCACCACAAGTCATGGTTGCAGTATGGTTATATATAAATTAATAGTTCTGGAAGCCAAAATCAGACAGAGGCATGGAAAGCATAGTTGGCAACATATCTGCATGGTAAGCAGGAGCTGCAGGTCAAAGTCCTGCTGCAGGCAGATTCTTTTCTTCCATAAATTCTAAATTAAAATTTATTTGTAAAATTATCACAAGATGGCAGTCTAACTGCCTACCTCTAGTCAAATTATAATTATTAAATTAGCCTTATTATAGCTTGTTAATATTATGTAGTCCTGAAGTTTATAAATACAATTGAAGAGAAACAAAAATAGGTATCAAATTATCCTTTTAAACACAAAACGTTTTTTAGGGAGCACTTAACATCAATAAAGTTAAAAGCTTCACTAGAAAATTAAGAGACTAATTTTTTACTATGATCAATCCTTGGTATATGCCATTTAAGATCTACGTGCATGTCAATACTGTGTAAAACAAAGTACAGTAATACCTTGTATTTCAAACATTTAACGTTTGAATGCTAAATTTAAGAGATTCAAACTGTGCATGTGGTGAAAAAAATACACTTGCTGCATAAATGCCATCTGTTACATTATACTTGTGTGTTTTCATTGCTTTTTGCTGTTCAGTGTATATTAACCATGGCATACAAAAAGTGCGTGAAAACAATGAAGCCTAACAGGTAGATTGTATCGCTAATTGATATGAAAAAGGAACTTATCATAAAGAATGAAAGCAACACGTAAGTAGCAGCTCTAGCAACCATGTTTAAGATGCCTAAGTCAATTGTGTGCACCATTCTTAAAACCAAGAAAGCAATAAAAGCTGCAAATGTGGCTAAAGATGTGACAAATTTACCTCCAGATCATGTTTTTGAGGAGGAGATGATAAAATTCCTCCTAGTGTGGATAAAATGAGAAACAATTGACTGGAGATGATCTCAGAGGTTTATTTGTGAGAAAAAGTGCAAAGTGCATAGTGCATAGTTAAGAAACAGGACACCATCACTCATCACTAAAATATAGTAAATGCAATTGTCATTTTATTATATAGAATATATATATTGGGTTGTTCAGAAAGTACTTTCTTTTTTCCACCAGAGGGATTAGTTGTATTTTTACCACCCAACTTCATTCTAAACTGTATTCTCATTATATATTTTGACAGCTGATATTTCAAGACTTATTTGTAAAAAATTTTGTTTAATTTTATGCAATTTGTTTCTTTTGGTGTCCCAGCAAATATGGAAAATCAAAAGCAGCAGCATTTTTGGTATACTTTGCTTTCTTTTATTATCAAAAAGGTAAGAATGCTGTTCAAGCAAGAAAAAAATTGCATAACATGTATGGAGATATGTTGACAAAACAACAGTGTCAAAACTGGTTTGCAATTAATAATATCAAAATTAATAATATTCACAATTCAATATCGAAATTGACAATTTCGATATTGAAGATGTACCATGTTTTGGAAGGCCAGATGAAGCTGATGAAGCAAACTAAAGGTATTGATTGAAGCAAACTGCTGAACAACAACCCGATAAATCATCTAAGAGATTATAAATGGTTGAATTCAACAAATTTAATCATGTGAAATGACTTGTTTGTCTCAAAGCTCAATATATGGGTTCCATATGTTCTTAAAGATTTGCTCCATCACATTGACATCTGTGATTTGCTTCTCAAATGTCAAGAAATGATTCACTTCAAAAATGGATCATAACTGGTGATGAGAAATGGATTGTTTACAACAACAATGTTGAATACAAACGATCATGAAGTAGAAGAGATGAGTCAGTCAAAGCACTTCAAAAGCAGATATTCATCAAAAGTGATGATCTCTGTCCGGTGGGATTTAAAGGGAATTTTCTTTTTATCTTCTACTAAACCACAATTGATTGAAAAGTGTACTGTCATACACTGGCCAAATTGAGTGATACCATCAAACATAAAAGGCCAGAATTAATCAACAGAAAAGGTGTAGTATTTCACCATGATAATGCCAGACCTCAAGTTTGGTAACTCATCAGATGATGTTACAGCTTGGATGGGTGTGCTACCACACCCACTATATTCGCCAGATCTGGCACCCTCAGATTATTACTTATTTTGGTCTTTAAAAATTTTTTAAACGGCAAAACATTTACTTCAAATGAGAATGTCAAAAATCGTTTTAGTCAGTTTTTTATAAACTGAAATCAGAACTTTTATGAGGGTGGAATCAGGCTACTACCAGAAAGATGGAAAAGGTATTGGATCAAAATGATCAATATATAATTCAATAAAATAGTTATAAAGAAAATTGTTTCCCCCACAAAGAAAAAAAATTTACTTTTCAAACAACCCAATATTTTATTTATTGTTTGTGTTTTAATTTATTGTTTAAGACATTTAAGTGTATTATTTTTACCTTAAATGTATTTGCCATTTAAGTTTATCAAAATGGGTTTTGCTCAGGTTAATTCACTTTCCATTGTTTCTGATAATCAAAATTTCGGATGATTCCGATTTCAAACAATTAATCGTTTGAATGGCCTTCTGGAATGAATTAAATTCAAAGTACAAGGTACTATAATTATTCTTACTTTAAAACTAAATTTGCCAAATATTTTGGTGTAATAACTACCAACATGTATTCACCTCAATGTTTTACACAATAGAGAAAAATTCTAGTTGATATAAACAACAATTTCTTTATCCACCCAACTAGCATTGGAAAGATCAGATTACTTGGCTAAAATAAAAACCTAAATTAGTAAAATGTTTTATATGCTCACAATAGTAGTAAAATTCCAGAAATGAGCAAGTATTACTCAATAATTTTTAGATTTTATATATCAAACATTTCAGATTTTTTACTGAAGATTCTTTCAATTGGCTATTTATAAGTCATGAAAAAATTTATTCTTTGAGTTTATTTTGATTAAGTCTAACATTGCAAAATATTGAGATTAAAGGGCTTAAAAATTTAATTTCACAATCACCTTTTATTTTATTCTCTTCAATTTTTGAAGTTTTTTTCTAGTAATATTGTTCAAGCAATTGTTTGTTTTTTTTTAAAATAATAAAACAGTTTGGAATGTTTTATTATAATGTCTCTCTTTGAAGGAACACAAATACTCAAATGAGGGAAAAAAAATTATTACAAATTTATCANAATAAAAAGTCCTGCTACCGAGAATGCCCTTTCCGATTCAATTGATGTGAGTGGAATTCCGTCTTCTCTTAAATGCATTAAACACGTTATGTGTTTTTTCTGCTATAGCTTGGAAGATTTCTAGTTCGTTTTCGAGATTGTAGTACTTCTTTTGCTCTCTAGTATTCTTGATTTGTCTACCTTGGTTGCTTTAATAAAAACATCAAGCTTATAGCCCAAATATTCGGCAGTTCGTTTATCTTTAATAATCAGGTTTATGAAGAAAAACTTCACACTTGCAGACTTCATACTCGTTTGCACAACCTGGCATTACGCAGTTATTGAAGCTACTGGGCTAATTGAAGTTAATGGTTAAAAATTAAGATAGCACAAGCACAATTATTCCAGATATTACAGGTTCTGACAGGTAAAGAATTTTCAGTCTTGCCACAAATAAGCCACACATTGATTATTGATCATTTGTGACATGCCATAACAAGCAAAAATTTAAAAAACTAATAAGTAGGTTTAAAATTATTAAATACAAATGTATTCTGACAGTTTATGAGTTAATTATATTTTCTATTTGCAAAATTTCCTCAACCTTAACACAAAATTAGAAAAAAGTGAATTTTTAAGAAATTTGCGGGATTTCCCGGGATGAGAAGAATTTCCCGGGATATTTCCCGGGTTAAAAAACAATCAGGATCCCGGAATCCCGTTTGAGAAACCCTAATTCTAACGCTCCAAGTGAAAAGTCAATGTTCTAAGTTCAAAAGATTAGCATAAATGTAACTCGTAAGCTAAAGTTACATTATATAAAATATACGACTTTATATAACGATGTTTTATAATAAACGTTTCATAAAAATAAAAACTTGTGTAACGTTAGCTTAAAATAAATTTTAAAAACAACATGACTTATTTGTAATAAAAAAAATTATTATTTTACTGCACTAAAAACAAAAAATACCTGGAGGTGGATAATTTTGTAAAAGACGAAGTAACTTTACAGATAACCATGGAGCGGGTACAAAATAATAAGTGTAGTCTTGCAAGTCAGTATATGATGATGTTACAATCTGGAAAAAATTTACATGTTTACAATTATTGAATCAAAAAGAACTATTATAATTCAAAGACTAATATTTGTAAATTGCAAACTCTGAAATTAAACATCTTTTAATCATTTATATGGAAAGGAAGAAATCTGATATTTAGACTATCAAGACTACATATTTTGAAATTTAAATTTAAAGATTCAGGAAGGAAAGATCAAATGCAGAGAAACTAAAAAGCTACAGATTATATGCCACTCCATCATGTAACAATAGTATTTTATAAATAACTATTATGTAGAAGAGATACTAGAAAAAAGTACAAATGATATATTTTAATTATAATTTCTTATATAACAATCAAAATACTAAACGCTATTAGTATGTATAGGAAATTAAAAATTTAGAGGCATGTAGAAAGAATAATCAGGAAAAAACAGTAAATTATCAAAAGAAAAAAATATATATATAGATATTGGCTTTATCAAAGGAAGCTTGAGAAATGATAATGAAACATTAAGATAAAGATAATAGAAAAATAAAAGAAAAATACAAATTGAAAAAACTTTGAATACTTGAAACAAAAGAATAATAAAAAGATAGCTTTGCTATTGTGCTAGTGTTCATATGAATTATTAGCAACATAGAAATGGATGGCAGAAAAAGTGGTTTTTAAAAGAAAAATTATAAACTTGTTTTATTCAATATATTCATGAAATTACAGAGGATTATTCAAAGCAATATATCCAGAGAATGCAAGTTTACAAATAATTTGCTATATGTTCCAAAAACATACAAGTTTAAGAAAGGGTTAAATTTAGTAAAAATATTTTTACACAATCTTTAACATTTTAGCAATAAATCTTTAATGGACATAAAAAACACTAGAATAAAGTTTATTATACACAAAAATCTGAAAACATTTAGATTTTAATATTAAAAGTTAATTGAAAAATAAGTAAAAAGATTTTTAAAAGTTGTTTAGAGTTTACTTTTATATACATTATGATTAAGCTAAAATTACTAATTTAATTGAAACATAATAGGACACTTCTTAAAATAGATAAACCAGAAAATGACAATGTAAGGAAACTCCTTACAAAAATTTTAATCTAATCTAAAAAAAGTAATCTGTATTCAAAGTTTGAGAAGAGATGGTGTGTTTGAGTATGAACATGTGCAAATATGTACTTGAAATTAAGAAAAGTTCATCTACTTGAATATCTTGAGTATAATATAGAATACTAGATGCTAAGTTCAAAATATTTCTTCTAAAAAGTTTTAGTGGAAGTGTATTATGGTTCAGAATTAAATTTAAAGCATTTTGTCTTTGTTTAGCCTCCTTGTGAGTTGTTACTAGAGTTTGGCATTACAATATGTAAGGAAACTTTTTCTAATATAAAACTGAAATCTTCATTTCATTCCAGTGCTTAATACAGAATACTTTCTTATTAAATTGAATTTATTTATGAAAGTATTGGCCATACATGTATAAATATATCAATTTCATTTTTTTTAATAAATAAAATATTTTAACTTCAAATTATTAAAAAAAATTTTTTTTCAATATTTAGCAATTAACCATTACATGCTTAAATGTCAAAATTACATCTGAATTTTTTGTTTTGCCAATGGAATAATTCATATTTGACTAAAGACTAGAGAAGTTATGTATCAACATTCTAAACATTCTCATTCCATAAAAAATCTTAATTGTGCAATCTTACTTCCAAATAAGAATGATTCATAGTGTACAAAATTACTCTAACCAAAAGTATCAAAATTTTATGGAATTAAGTATTTAAAAATAAAAACCACATTAAAAAAACTTTTGCAACTGATATATTAAGAGGTAAATTTTTGGACAATTTCATAAAGAATTAAAAGTTGTTTGTATTTTGTGTTAATACATCAATATATATTGATTTATTAACATAAAATTTGACAAAATGTGAAGTCTAGTCCATAATAAAATTTAGTTTTGACAGTCAATAAATCTCAAAAAGTAACAGTATTCAAAAATGCATTTCCCCCCAAAAAAGGAAATGAAAATGTTCCTAATACAAATAATTCAAATCAAATATGCTAAATGCATGCTAACCACGTTTGATACAGAAATTGAAGTTACAATCAAATAAATAATTTATGCTTTTGGAAATATTCTGATCAAATAGATGGTCTAAATTTGAATTTATACACATGAAATATTTAATGAAAAAATTTAAAATTAAAAACCTTAGTTAGAAAATTAATATTTGTTCATCGTTGAAAATTTTTTTTTCTTCCAATTCTTAGGCTTGTTTCAAAATTGCAACACCTAGACTGAATGATTTTTTCTGATCAAGTTATGCCATTTTTTCATGCTCAGATTCTAAATTCAACAGAACTACCCTATAAATACAAATTCTAGGTTGCATAATTGGACCAATACATATCTAAGAAAAATAGAATAATCACTAAAATAATCACTTACTGTTTTTGTTACTATATTTGAGAAACAATCATTACAATGCTTTCATGTTTTATATTTTCATCATATTGTACTTATTCATGTTCATTGTACAAGAAAAACATTAGAAAAAACTAACTTTTCCTATTTCTCATCTTATAGGAGAAAAAATTCATTTCTATTAGCATTCTAATAAAAAATTTACTTGGCTAAGTGCAATTTACATTCCTATAGGCCATGCTTTAACTATTCCATTATGTTTACATCACTAGTCTGTTGCTCTGAAGTTACATTGCACAGATTTCAATGTATAATGTGTGTTGCATTTCTGCAACAGATGGTCTGGGTTAGTTACTTGGTCTGTTGGATATTTGCAACAAATGATGTTTTAGGAATGTTTAACACACTAAGCAAGTGCTAATAAATTCAGTTGTTTTAGACAACATGTAGTATTATTTGAATAGCTGAGGTTGCATTTAAGTAATAGCTGTTGACTAAAAAATGTTTCCTCAGATAATCAATCACACTTTGGAACCATGTAATACTGTCACAAATTATTTCTGTAGGAAGAAACATCAATCTATACCAGTGTTTCTCAACCTCTAATGAATCGTCACCCCTTCAATAAAACTGTTACGTAGTATCGCCCCTTCACTTCAAAATTCCGATGCCGAGGGACAAGGCTAATGCCAAATTCAAACTGCATTGAATAGACTAGTGACTAGTATAATGTTATTTGTTTAATTATTGTACAATATAACAAAATATCTAATTATTCTTAATATAATGTTTTATTATAATTGCCCAGAAAATTGTTTTTCGCCCCCAAAATATAAATTGTTACTAATTGCCCCCTGAACATGGAAAAATGCCCACATGGGGGCGATATCGCCCCTGTTGAGAAATACTGATCTATACAAATGCTTGCCTCATCAAACCATCTTTATTTTGCAAATTGCCATAGATGCATTTTAGAAATTTTTCCATCTTCAGTATGGCACCTGGGATATACTTGGGAAAAATGTACAATGAAGTTTAGTTCTTGTATATACAAGTTATAAAACTGTAATGATAAAAAAAATATTGTATCTCAGGCACCATACCATAATTCTCAAACTAAACATTTTCCTGAATATTAATTTTTAGCCAATATAAGATTTTAATTTTTTCACAGATAATTTGCTATTTTACTCATTTTAAATGTTATGAAGAAAGTTATATGACAAAACTAAACTTATTACAAGTTTCATAATATTAGATGTATCATACATCAAAAGGAAGTAAACTTTCAATAAACAGTTTAATTTATAAATTCATATCTACTTCACAAGTAATATGAAGTCCTCAACTGTTTAGTCTATCTTTCATGTAAAATAATGAAAATCTTAATTCAATTCAAAATTTTATAGATATGGAGACATCCAATATTTTTATATGGGGAGATCTGTCTGAAGGACTGTTGGATTGTAATGCTAATGCATATTTTTTGTAAATCAGATGCCATGTTATTTCTTTTTTACTCAATTATAAAAAGAATTGTGTCAATTTTGGAAATTGTGTCAATTGTGTCAATTTTGGACTGTTCCTGCTTAGTTGTGTTTCATTTATTGGCTGATTGTAAATTAGTTGTCAGTTTAAAACAGATTTTTTGGTGGTGAAGTTTGGACTAAGAATTTTAGGTGGAGGTGTCATTTCAGTTATTCATATGCTGTTTGTTAATTGTATTGGAAGATCTGTCTAAAGTTGATGACAATGCTAACATTGCTTTTGTAGATATGTTATTTGCAATTGTTTTTATTTTTCTTCTTTGAACAAATCCCTAATTTTAATTATAATTTTTAAAGTAAATGTATTTATGGGTTGGGTTTAAACTTTTGGACTGAAATTCCAAACTCCTTCCAATCAAATATAGTACATATTGGATTATATTTGATTGGGAGCAGTGTTGTCTACCCATATTTATTTTTAATTTGGAATATGTTCCCTGCATCAAGGGTAATACATGTACCCAAGATGCTGTAAATATCTTGTGCATTACCCTTGATGAATATTTTTACAGAAATTTGAAAGTTAATACCTTATTATATCAATCCCAAACTTCCATGTCTACCAACTTAATAAAAACCTCGTGTGTGTTACAGTTAGAATTTTAACTATAAATATACATTTAATTTCAATAAGTCGCAGCTAATTAAAAAAATTGAATCTGTAAAATGATACCCATATGGAAATAATAATGTTCATGCTTGGTTTCTAAATTCATAGTCTTGGCATGATTTAGGTGGTGTAACTGATCATACAAAATATGAGAGAGTTAAAGGTTTGAATTTCATTTTAGACTTTTAGAAGATTCTAATATGTATTTAAACTTGTAAAATATTAAGTTTAAACTAAATTTCATCTAATTTATGATCAAGTAATTTTATGGGTTTAACTAAATCAAACAATTTATAATATTAAATTTACCCTGCTTAGTCTGGACACTGCTAAGCAAACACACCCTTTATACTCTTCAGGATTTCTCTTTACTAATGCTTCAATAAGACTTACTGCAGATGTTACAACACCCTGAAAAAAATTATATACACATATATATATTAATTCTGATCTAATAATAAAAAGATCAGACAAAATAATACAACATACCATATGCTGATCATTGAGAAGATGAATTATTCTAGATGTCCATTCTCCACTTGGAATAATTTCAGAAGAAGTACGAAACAATCGTAAAAGGCAAAGAGCAGCACTCTGCTTTACAGAATCCATTGTATCACTAATATTCAAATGAATGAATTTAATATAGTTAAATATGTATTAAATTTTATATTAAATTCAATTAATGTATTTAATATTAAAATTTATAAAGTGTGTTGAAATTTAAGAACTTTTTTGTTCTTTTTGTTAAAAGTTTAGCATTTTGATATAAATTTTATCAAGCAATCTAAATACAAAACACTAGATTAGAATGATATTAGAATATAATATACTTCATCTTTAACAAACTAGTTAATAAATAAAATTATTTATGAAAATATAAATTTTAGTTAATTAAATAAACACTTATTTATCCAACATCACACTGTTTCCTTCTGAAATCTTTAATTACACTACAAATGCATTTCAGGTATAGGCCTTTTTTAATCCTTGCCTCTCTTCAGTGTATAATATTTTAATATATAATTATTATTACCCTATAAAAAATTTGTTACCTGTTACAGGAAATTTTCTAATTCCACACTCCTCCTATAATGAACTTCTCCCTATATCAAACAACTGAAAATCCTCAGCAAATGCAGTATACAATGACTTATGAAAGTTTATTACACTGTATAATGAAAGAATTTCAAAATCTTTCAGTATAATTTAATATATTTCAAACTCAAGCCATTCCATTATAGCAAACTGCATCAAAATATCCATTTGATAAGAGATCAAAAACACTAGCTCCTACAACAAGCATCACTATCTTCAATTAGATAGCTTTGAATACACAGGGCAGAATTTAGATCCTTCAATTTCTCACCAATTTGGCTGATTTTGAAAATTTGTGGCAGGTTGTGTGTCAATATTGCAACTTGTTTTGCTTATTAAAAATGTTTTTCCTAACTTTTTATCCCCTATCTATAGATTTTCTTTTGTGTTAAAAGCTAATGTCAATCAGAAGCCAAATTATTAGGCTTAGCTTCTCTTTTTTGATAACTGTTCACACAAGCCATGGATGATTTCTTAAAACACTGCCATGAGTATGACAGTCTGCAGCACCATTACAAATGATTTACAATAGGAGTGCAAATAAATTAAACATGTCATATTTTTTAGTTTTGTCCAAGCTTTATTAGGAAAATTCCTAAATGCATTTTATACTAATATCAATTAAATTAAATTATCCACAACCGTGAGGCAGATAATAGTGAGGGCTTATCAGACCAAATGATGGGCACAAACCATTGTATAGCTATACATTGTATATGTGTATAGCTATATTGTATAGCTGTTTAACTGTAGCTGTAATAACCCTATGACCTATGTAGGTGAAACAAAAAGATGTCTCAATGTTCGTATAAAAGAACACAAATGCCATCAAATACAATTCTGAATACTCTGCAGTTGCCAAACACTGCAACCTATATGGTTGTGAAATCAATAAAAGTACAATAAAAGCAATAAAATTTGAAACCAACACTTATAAACGTAAATATCTTGAGCACAGAGATTTTAAAAATTGATAATGTTAATAGAATTAATAACAACTTAGGTGTTAAAATTGACGAAGGATGGTATAATTATATCTTTTAAAAAACAAAATATCTTTGTGATGTAATGTCCACATGTACTGTTAAAACCGTTAGGAACTTGTAATTGTATCACATGTTGTCACCACTTGTACACCAGATGTGGACTGACCCACACCTCCCTCACTACCACTCCCAGCACCTTGTTGTAAGCTGGCACTTGCTACTCTGTAGTCTTACCTTTTTTGGTATATACATTATCTGCCTGTATAACTTTAGTCCATTAGTGTTAACTAATTATTGTCTAACTTATAACTGTTTTATATCAGCACCCTATATGTCATCCCACCATGCAAGGTCATGAAGATTTATTACACCTGTCTACCCTGATATTGCCTACTGCTCATACTGTTATATTGGCATCTTCACCTTTATATTGTATAGTTTTAGGCATAGTTTTTAAGTTTACCTTACTTTGTATAATTTTTAATATACCACCTACTTTAGATAATACCTACTGATGATGCTTACTTATATATTGTATAACTTTAGGCTTAGTTTTAAGTTGACTGTTACCTTGTATAATTCTATTATGGCATTACCTTTAATACCAACTGATGAGAGACTGTTTTCTATTAGGAAATAGTCCGAAATGCATTTTGGGTTTTCATTTTCACACTTATGTAGTAACTTTGAGTTTATTAAATTGTTTTCACTTTGATCTCTGAGCATTTGTGCCCATCATTTGGTCTGATAAGCCCTCACTATTATCTGCCTCATGGTTGTGGATAATTTAATTTAATTGATATTATTATATCAAGGGCTAGAAGCAACTTTTGTAATAATTTAGTTGCATTTTATACTGTAAATTCTTAACTATCATTTACTGTTATTCAAGAATTCTGTATGTGGAGAATAAAATTAAAACTTGACCATTATATTTATTATGTATTAATGTAAATACTATTAAAAATAGTAAATCAAAAGATAATTTTGTAAACCTAAATTTTGGCTATTTTTAGTAAAAAAAATCACACAGGACTCAAATAATTGAATATGTAGACTTTATTATTGTATTTGGAAATGCATTTTGGGTTCTATTAACCCCTCTTCAGTCCATTTTTTACAGATAGTATTTGATTATTTAAAATAGATTAATTGCTGTTTTAATACCAAACTGGATATATTAAAAAAACCCGTATATGGATAAAAGTACAATTAATAAGATTTAAAAAATTAAATAAACTGATAAAGTTTAAAAAAAGTATTTTCCATCATTTACAAACCAGTTCAAAACAATTTTCACTTAGAGACAACCTTTTATTTGAGGCTGCCCTCTGCAAAAAAATGTAAAATGGATAAATAACATCTGCTGGTAATGGTGCCAATACCAAATTTCTTAAAGGCATAGCCTGTACTAAAAGTTCAACTCTAACAAGGGGACCTTACGGTCTCGGAAATTCAGTTCGGGATGAGACTTTGCAGGTTAGTAGTATACCTCAAGGGTGTCCACCCAGAAGAATTGTAAAGCGCACTAGCAACAAGATTCCGAGAAAAAAAGACTCTAAAGTTTTAAGTGCAGCTCATATACCGATCGATTTTACACTATGGCAGCACAGCAAAATGGCTGAGCCTGTAGCGAACTCTCTTGCCATGCGAACGATCTAGGTTTGATTCTACCTTCGGTTAACTTTATTTTTATTGTTTTAAAAATTGTAACAACTTTTAAATAAAGTTAATGACCTAAAAATATTATCAATTAAATCAGGGCTTCTTAAACTTTTTTAATTCACGACCCCATTTATAATTGTGATTTTTTTCGCGACCCAAAAAACATAAAATGAAGATACAGTAGAACCTCTATTATCCGGACTAATTGGGGATGAAGGTAGTCCGGATAAGGAAAAATCCGGATAATCGAAAAAATACTTTAATTTGTCTTTTAATGATAATACAACACGTTTTCTTTTCGATGACATATCGGTAATATTAAAAGTAAATACTGTATTTAAATCGTGATCAAATTTTCAAGAAACAAACGTTCGTATTGAATTTGGACTACTACTGACCAACGCTAACAGACTACCTATTGTTTAAAAGGCCCTCTGGTGGCGCAAGAAGACGGATTTTATAAAATAAAAAGCAGTTGAAACTGCATTTTTATGAATAAAAATTTGACAAACTATCATTTTATGACGAGTAAAATATTTTCGTCGCGTTCGCGGCTTTTAAGTAATGCATAAACCTTCGAAACGCGAGGCCCTTCGGACCGCGAGGCATAGGCGGTGGCCCACGTCGTCCATGCCTTACGCCGCCCTTGGTCATAGAAATGATTTAATTTGAATATAAATTATTTATAAATACGTTTGTCAAGTTATATTTTTATTACGACGTAAAATATATTTAAGAGTTTACGACCACTGTGCTGGGTGAGACGTTGTTGAAACAAAAAAAGTTATGCATTCCATCATGTACATAAACAGTGTCGTAATTCGCCAAGTGCAAATCAGCAAATTCGTAAAATTTTTGTTTATTTTGGACAATCCGGATAATCGAAAATCCGGATAATGGAGGTCCGGATAATGGAGGTTCTACTGTATATACAAATTTGCAAAAACAATAATGGTGTACTACCACAGTTCACTCTTGTGTTACAATGAAACAGAAACAGCTGAATACACTAAAAAGCGACAACATTACACTAGTACAAACTACAGTGTTGCTGAATCGTTGTCTTGCTGCACCAGAAGTGACACAAAGCGCAACTCATGAAATCAATGACACAAAGCGTGCCATTTTCAAACTCTCACAAATTTTCAATATTTTGCATTAAAATCTCGCGACCCCAAACGGGGTCACGACCCATAGTTTAAGAAGCCCTGAATTAAATCATAAATAACTGTCAGCTTCCACACCTATTCAGTTTGATATTCTATTCTTTAATAAGCTTATATAACTTGATGTCCAATTGATATGGACGAACATTTCTAAACACCAAAAATATTTAATATAATGATTTGATGTATTGTGTGCTTTTTATATATACTAGTTCCTGAGGTGCTTTAATAAGTGAAAATTGTTTTGGACACTAGTGATTTGTAGACTAAAAGAGAACTTTATATCTTCAAATATATTTAATTATTTTACAGAATTCTTATACCAAAACATTCCAAAATATTGGTCCTCAAATTTATTAATTAGAAAACTTCTTGTAATATCAAAATTTGAGAATTTTATGCACAATATTAATAAAACCAAGAGTAGTATTGAATGTTATCAAAATAAATTTTATGATTATAAATAGCTGTAACTAATTTAGCTCTAAGCAAAAATAAAGTGAAATAAATTCAGTTTTTTCAATAAAATAGATATAATTTCATTGAATATTTTATCCTAATAATTAAAATAAAATTGATATGTTGGATATTTTTTAATGTAACCACAGATTTAGCATTCAGTTTATTACAACTGATTCAAGTTAATATCGTAGAATAAGTAAATATTAATATTCAAAGGATAAAATTATTACTTACCCGGATACAAGCAATTTTGGAATCTCTGGACCAAATGTTTCTGCCATTTCTTGACTCCCAATATTTGCAATACACTGAAGTGCAAGATTGACATGAATAGGATTTCGTGAAGTTAAATCATTTTTCACATTCTGAATAATTAATTTCATTAAATCATTATTGGCATTCATAAGAACAGAGATAAAGAGATAACCCTGAAAATATATTATGCAAAGTCTAAGAAGAACTTACAAAACAATAATTTTTTTAACAATAGAAAATTCATACAATTTGTTTTTCTGAGTACTTATTTGAACTGAGTAAATTAACAGCTTCCATGTGACCAAAATCAATATCATGACCAAGTAGAAAAATAAACAATAATTTGCAAACATATTTCTTCTTTTGATAGCCATCAAGAGTTTTATCACCTAAATAACGATATAAAACATTAAATGAAAAAAATATTTTTATATCAATTTTGAATACATCCAACATTTATAAAATTACCTTTAAATTTAGAACGTATATTAGCAAGTTCTTTATTTATTCTTTTTATTTCAGCTTCTTTACTTTTACCTAAGAAAAAAAATTTTTAAATCATACAAATTAAAGAAAATCAGACCTTCACTGTTCTTCAGGTTATTATAACCACAGACTTTTACCTAAGTACTTTCAAGCTGACAGGTGCATCTTAGGCTTCATATAATTTCATCAAATTACAAAATTTAAATTTTCTAAATTACAACTTAAAGCTTATAAATTAAATTCAAATAAAATAGAAATTAAAATTTATTTGAAGATATTTGATTGTCTACTTCCAAAACTATAACTTATCAGATTTATATTCTAAATTTTGTAATTTGATGAAATGCATGCAAAACCTAGGATGATGTGCTTGCCAAAGTACTTAGACATAAGTTTAATTATAATCTCCTGAGAAGCAGTGACGGTCTGATTATAAGGCTAAAAAAATGTAAATGTAACAAATTTATATATTAAAATATTTTAGTCCACATTAATTCAAAAACAATACCAAATTTGTATTTCAGTTTTGACATTGAGATCTATAAACAATAAATTTTGACAATTTTTACTTAAGTCTCAATACTTATAAGAATTAAAATATTTTCTGAACATTAAAAAAAATCATTTTTACAAAAATCAAATTTAATTATAAAAACATTATGTTCAGAGAAAAAAAATATACTAATTAAATACTATCAACTTTTTTATTGTCTGGCATCTTGAAAGTGTTTCTTATAAAGTATTTTACAGAACATATTCTGTAAAGTGACAGCTCCATAAATAATTAAAATTATCCAAATGCCACTTTTACTTAAGTTTCATAAAATCATTTATAACAGAATTCACAATTAATTAATTAAGAATCAAGAGAGTTAGAGGTTAACTAATAACTGAAATGGTAATTAACTTCTTAGATCTTTAGTTGTGAATACAAACATTAGTGACAAAAGTTCCACATTAATTTTTAAAAACAATCTTCACAAGCAATATAAATAAAAACAAATTTTTACTTCAATGCAAGAGTCAAATTTTAATTTTGAATAATGAAAAAAAATTCTATTATTCAGTAATTCATTATTATATTTTAATTGAGAAGTTTCAATAATTTTTTAAATTTTTATGAAAATTTATATAATGTTTTTTTTTATTAATTAATGAAAATTTCTATATGATCAAATAAATTTAGACTAAAAATTCATAACCTTATGTAAGGCAAAAAAATGCAACTATATTTTCTTCATTGAATATCCATATTCTATCATGTCATAAATCCAAATTATCTTTCCACCAGCAATTTTGGAGATTGTAACAATAATAATCAATGGAAAATAATACTTAAGATTAAAGATTAACATCTGTATTTTAGTACAAGGCAGTATTATTTTTCTGTAATTTTAGATAGCATCTAAAATTACATTAAACCAAAAATTTTATAGAACTAGTAAGTCGCTAAGAATGAAAAAGTATTAAATTATTCATCTGTTATGAACAATTTTAAAATTTACATTTGCTATAAAAAATCCCAAAAATTAAAAATTTTATTTTCAAACAGTTGATAATTCTATTTGAAATTTAACTTAAGATTTTAAAATTCAGAAACAAGTATATCTGTAAAACTTTTAATGGTTAATGCTTTATTTGATTTTAAAGTTGAATATCTCTATTTTATAAAACTATTGTAATATTAAAGCCAGATGATTAAAACCAGATATAATTTGGCAATTGTTTGGCTTTAATATATAACTAAGGTTTTAGATGTTAATATTTCTATTGTAATATAGTTAGTATATAAAATTTTTATTTTTAGGAGACTCAGATATTAGCAATTCAATATATGGTTTTATAAGCTAATAAAACTTACAAAAATGCACAAACATATTGATGATAAACTGACATGAATGCAAGTAAAATTTATTTCTTATATCTAATATTAGTCATTTTTTACAAACTAAATTACAATTTAAAATATCAAATCACACAATCTAAAAATCATCTAAAAAATTATAGGTAATCTAGTATTTATATAACAGAACAAAAATCAGTGCATTTTGTAATAAGCCTTTAACCAAAAATAAACTGAGCCAAGAATGTAATAGAATGAAGACATCAGTCATATTTTAAAAAATCCCATTATAAGATTTATAAGACAGAATTTGATGTTTGCATATCCTAAACTAATCAACTTCTTTCGTCAATAAAAAACTTCACAAAGAATAAAAAATTAGAGTAATATCTAAATAACAACACTTTATAACTCAACTTCAGTATGAACTCTCTCTCTCCCCCATCTTTTCATTGTGACAAATACATAATTGCCAACCTTTAGAATGGAGAACAGCTAGGACATTGGTAGAAAAACACTGATTTTTGAGTAAAAATGCTGACAGCATAAAAAGCAAAAATTATTAACATTGATATTGCACAATGCTTATTAAGTATCTTTAATAAACAAAATTTAATGCTTTCTCTGTGTAGGATAGCTTTTAAAGTTATTGCCACAAACAGTCAAGAGTATGGCAATACTTTAAACTCTAACATCACAATTTAAAAAAAATCAAATATTTTACGACACATCATAAATTTATGATGTGTTCCATCCTTGTCATGATTCTTGATATTGCATGATGAGTGCCTCCTATTATATGCCTTGTTAATAATTTCTTTTGTTATGTTACAATGTACTCATGACAGTGGCTATCAGTTTGTTGACTTTCACTGCAATTATTAATAAGGACGATAATTTTTCTGATTTCCCATCTTGGTCTTTTTCTTACAATACTTAACATCTTTTCCTTTTGTCACACAGCAATACAGGAAAGACCCTGCAATGTTCTGACTTATTATCTTACAGCCTAACCAGCCTTACTATTTTACAAAGATTTGTAATCTTTGTAAAATAGTAAGACTAATGATGATTCTTTTCTTGAGAAAATTCATACCATATATGGCCTGTATATTCTTGTGATAAATCAGATATTTCTTCTTTTTGGAAAGAGAAACTGTAGTGCTTCTCAATAATTTGGAATAGCTGTAAAGTAACTCATTTCCTTCCACTGAGGAGTCTGCATAATTGATTTAACCACCAACATGATGGCACTAAAGTTGCCAGACTTGAAGATAATTTTAAATGGCAGATACGATAAATTGTATCAGATTTGAGCTAAAATTCTCAACATATATAAAAATATCAATCTTGGTTCTTTTCCAATTGAAGGAATCTGAGATCATCATTCTGGTTTGCTTCAGTCGTTTGTAATGAAATACATACAATGTCTTCAGTATATACATTGGTGTCACTCATTAAATGAAGTGTTTGTGTAATCATATCAAATTCTTTAAAAATGCTGACAAAGGAAAAAGTGGGCTGTCTACTGACAGAGCATACAAAATATTGCTAGTCAGTGCTAAATAATGATAGTTGGCAACTATACAAATATGCACTCTAAAAAGTTTGATTTTTATTCCTGTGTTACATTTTTTTTGACAACTGTAAATGATAACTATTCAATTAAGCATAGTAACTATTAATAGTTCAAATGGATCAAAGTAGATCATAATGTAGAATGATTCTCTAACACCACACAGTATTATGTTTTTGTTAAAAGGCTAATTTCATCCAATGATGAAGTTCCCTACGTTGTACTTATTAATTAATAACACATTCAAATTAAGTATACTTACTACTTCTGATGTCTGAAATAAACACAGCCAACCCTCTCATTCCTTCTCCCCTAACAGCAGGCATTTTGCTTAACTGAGACAAGGATTCTGAAAAATTCATTCATAAATTAACATTTAACAAATTTAAATATAATCAAGCTAATAAATATAACTATCTCAATTTTGAAAACTTAGCTAAAATAAATATATATACAGTAGAGCATCGATTATCCAACCCCCCGATTAACCGTCACATCGGTTAACCGACCGTTCTAGTCGGCAAATTCCAAATGTCCACTAGTGATGTGGTGCTACAATATTTGGTTATTTCTTGGCTACTTTAATATTATTTTTGTTAAATTTTTGCATGTTTTAGCTGGCAACACTGGCTCAACCATGAAAGGGAGGCCAGTATTTTAAAAGAGGCTTAATTTTCTAATTATGAGTGGTTGTTTGTTTCGTGAACAATAAAATAATTTTTAAACGATACAATAGCGACGATTATTATGTTAAAAAAATTTGTTAGGTTTAACATCGATGAAAATTCAACGCAAAGTAGGTTAATAGCGATATACTAATTTACTAATTACATAATATACTATACTAAGGTATTTTTTCATACTTTTCGGTTATCCGTTTTTTCAGTTATCCGACTAACCCCAGTCCCCAATTGAGTCGGATAATCAATGCTCTACTGTAGTTGTGTTCAGTCAAGTACTGAGTGACCTTTTTCCAGAATAAATATATATATATATATATACTCATCGTATAACATGATAGACATATTACAGAAAAGTGATGTGTTATGCAAATCCATGCTATACAAAACAAAGGACTAATGTAAAACATGGGTTATGGGTTACATTCCAAAGAGTAGCAAAAGTATACTTATTTTTTTTCATTACTAAGAGAAATATGTTTATTAATGCAATTCATAATTTATTTCCAGTGGATAATTAAACAATCACAATTAGAAGTACTGTATCACACATTAATATTGATTTTAGTTAAATGAGAGTGTTTTCTTTTTATAAAGTATCGTCGTCATCTGAGCTGTTTTTTGTTGCTGATATTTCTGATCAAGATCTTTATTATTTTTATCATAATTTTTTATGGATGACAAAATAAACGTGTTATTAATAAATATTTATTCTAGTGGGTTGCATTAGTTCAGTCAAGTACCAAGTGACTTTTTCCAGAATTTGTGTTTGAATACTGAATTGTTTGAGTACCGAGAATGCTGTATTTCATTCATTATCTTTACGAATGAACTAATCATTGATAGGTAAGAAACACCTACGGTTAGTTAAAAAAATTTTTTTATAACACCTATAAATGCTTAATCTTTAAATAAACTTAACTAAATACAATCTATATAAAAAACAGTGACAGCCTCAAGGATTAAAGTCTTAAAGCAATGACAATGGCATTGGGTTTAAAGGACAAAGAAAATGGCACTAGCTTTCCTATCAGTTTTCATTAAAGTAAACATGACAAAAAGCACAAAATTTAAAAATTGATATTCTAAAATTCGTGGGCAAATTTGAGATAACACATGTGCTTATTTGTATAAAAAAATACCAAATAATGAAGTTTACACTTAAAAAATTATGAAATTTTGTATGAAGGATTTCTAAAACAATGTTAGAGTGAAACGGGAAGTAGTGTTTTATGGGGGATATCCCCAATTTTCAAACTGTATTAGAGAAAATAGTGTTGCAGAAACACCATGTTGTATGAGGGATACCTGTATAATGTTTTATGTATATGTATTATAAACAAATATTTAGGTGCATATTTTATTCATAGTATTTGCTATATACACTAATATTTTTACTAATAATTTACTTTTATATACTTTTATATACTAATATTTTTACTAATAATTTACTTATAATTTTATACTGTAATAACTTTTTTCCATTTTATTTATGAGAGTCCAGGATTGACAAAGATTTTTTGGATGAAAATTTCATTTTTGAAATTAAAACTTTTATAAATTTTCCCACAATTGTTAAAATTGTTAAGGATATGATTTTATTCCTCTGTGAAGTCACTTCCCTTTCAAGATGATACATCAAATATGTCACCAGGAACTTGATGACAAGAAATTGTTATTGGACATAGGTGCTGCAACATTGCCAAAAAGAGGGCAAGGGAGAAAAGAGGGAGGACCCCCAATATAAGGCAATGATGAATAATGACAATAGTTCATCTGGGAGAGAAGTTCGTCCATCTTATGAGGAGTTTGCCTGCTGATGAGAGGACAGTTCATTTATCCAAGAATCTGTTACCACAGAAAGTTCGCCCTAGTCAGAGTTGCCTCAATGATTGGATACCTTAGTGACCTTCCTTCATCCTGCATTTACTCCATTGAAAAAGTGAACTCCAAGCCTTCGATTCACCTCAGATCCCTTACCAGGTATCTATGAACTTTATATGTAAACTCTCTCTCTCTAACTTCAAACTTGCAAAGTAGTTAACATCAAGGATGAAGCTTTAAATGCAAGATATGCCTTGCTTGTATACATTTAGGTAGTTACACACACACACAATCTCTTTATTAATGCAACAATACTGCATCACTGGTACCGCAATAGCATAACCAGTTTATACATGTTTGATTGAACACAGGAATGTAAAGTAATGTATTACAATGTATTTACATAGGATATATACCATAAATTGATACCATAACATTTACATGTATGACAGATGATATTGAATATCTGCATTATACATAATAAGCTAGATTAATGACTTAATTGACTATTACTTTTTGTTTAATGTTAACAGAAGTATGTAAAGTATGATATATATTGTTGAAGTAGATATTATTATAAGTTTCACATACAAATATATATGATGATATAATACTGTAGTCTAAACTAAATAAAGCTTAATAGAATTAACACTAAATAACTGTAAGAGTTACTTTGCAGGTCTTCAGGTGTGGTTGCTGCTTCCAGTCATTACATGTAGATAGAGTTCTTTAGGAGTCTCACAGGATATTGGCAGCCCAATGTTCATACACTAAAATGAAGTTCCTACAAACATAGAAGTACTTGGAAGATTCATATTCCAATGACACTTATGAATAATAGTTCATTTTCAAGCCTTCTTATGTAGAGTCATCATTTCCTGTTGATGTTTTTTTTTTATAGAAATAGGCAAAAATGCCAATATTCATCTTAGTTAATCTCCAGAGATAATGTCTATCATTTATCAATTCACTTAGAATGATAGTTTCTGAAAAACAACTGATGTCTTTTGCACAATTTAACTCTCTGACATAACACAAATATTAATAGTTCTTTGCAGCTATCCTGGAACTAAGTCAGCATACTAATGTAGTTTATTCACTAGAAGTAACGGGTAGTATATGCTAACTCACAATTAACTACGTAAATCTTGAATTCTATAAGGTTCACCAAAGGTAGAGATTGCAAATCAACGCTTCATCTATGTAGATAATGCATGTAAGGATTTGTCAAGACTGGAGAGCATTCTTAGCTTCAGATATATGTAGTAGTTTAATCGAAGTCTGAACTCCAGAGCAGTGTTGTATAATAAAATCCTTTATGTTAAATTTATATGGATCTAGATATATAGGCTGATGAGGGTTATATCAGTAAAGCTATTGTAGTATCACCCATCTAATGTTGTGAATTAGGAATCGCTGTTTAGGTGCGTATGTTTGTAACATTACTGTAACTTAATAAAGATTACATAAGCAATAAAAGGATTCTTTATTATTGACAAGATCATTTAATGTGCATGGCCAGGAGATTCCTCATGAATCAAGGATACACTTGAGACGACATCGTTCTCTCTCTAGCATAATGCAATCGAAAATGTAATGTTCACTGCCATCCTTAATGCCACAGGTAGAGAGAGCATAAGTTATTAGTGGAGTCAGTAAATCTATAGAGATAGCTGGCAAATTTTCCATGATTAGTGTAAAATTGAGTAGTCCAATAATTTGGTTTAAGCCATGTGTATGTAAAAATTTTTCTAATGTTAGGAAAAAATTTATAGGTAATTTTATCATTATAGTTATCCCATTTTTGCTGCCATTTATTTAGTAAATCAGACCATAATAGGTGTTTAACAGCTTGCAGGTGTGAGATAAGGAGTGGGTCGGGTTAAACTCTCCAAGGTTTTACTGAGAATGGGTAGAAGTGAAATGGGACAAAATTCATCCGATTTCCCAGGTTTTGGCACTAGGACTATGCGTGCAATTTTCTAGGGGGCTAGAAAAATCCCATAAAGTAGACAAGTATTATAAAATCAAAATAAATGTTCCGGAATAAGCTCCCAGAGTTTACGTGCAATATTTGCTGTCATGCTATCCAGTCCTGGGGCTTTACCTTGTTTTAGTTCATAAATAGCACTGTTTACTTCATTATATTGGAACAAAGACATCCGGATTGTTTATATCTATGCAGCAGTTAGTTCGTACTTCTTGTTGACAGGGAGTTTCGTCTTCAGGATTGTCAGGAATACAAAAGTGGTCCATCATCTTATTAATGACACTATTAAAATTGCAATGAGGATGATCAGAATCATCAGAGGTGAAAGCCTGTGGTTTAAAAAGACGATTAGTACATAATCTCACTATATACCCCGCGGATTTTTTGAAACTCTGCTGCAATAATCTTTCCAAGAGGTAAGTTTCGTATGTTTTAGTTCCTTTTTATATATATATGCAATCGAGCAAGATATTCATTCCTAAGCTGTCTTCTTAATTCCATTTGTCTGCATCGCTGACAGGCATGCCTCTTCTTGTTGCAGTCTTTTCGAAGTTCCGTAAGACGAGAATTCCACCATGGTACCGGTCTGCTTTTCATGACCGTTTTTGGGATATAAAAACTGCAAGCTTTTTCAATGATTTCTATGTTTTTAATGATTTGAGTCCCGACAATATCAGGTTCTTCCATGCTATAGTCTAAGATTCATGTTTAGATAATTGTGTATAGAATCCCAGTCAGCCCTAGAAGTATTGTAACGAAGACATGGATCGTAATTTGATGTTTTTAGCATAGTTTGAATTGTAATGTTGTAAGAAATGTAGAAATGGTCGCTGAAAGATTCTTCATCAAGGACCT